ACGTTTCTGGCGATAAATTGAGTATTAATTTAATTTCCTTAATTATAATAAAACTGACTGATTTTTGTAACAATACTTGGTTACTAGTTAAAGAAAAAATAGGTAGGTAATATGTATAATTTTTAATCTGAAACTATATTGTACTACCTCTAATCATCATATTTTAAAATCAATAACATTATTTAAACACTACTAACGTTCCTATCCTGAGTTCATATTAAATATTATGTTTTTGATTTTAACGCAATCTATTTAATTTTATCCCAAAGATACCTTATAATATTATGAACTATGTCATATTAATACGTATTGTGACAAAAGTTTCTCCTAGGTCCTTATAATAATCGTATAATTATAAACTAAAATAAATTTGTAATACTTTTAAAACTTAAATTTTTTTATTTTGCCCAAATGTGTCTTAGGTAAATTCTTACTTGTATACTTAATTGAACTCCTTCACTTTTAAGTTTTGATACTTTTTTTATATAAAAGTTGTAATTTGTTAACGTGATTTTAATACTATCAAAGACAGTTGACTCAATATTGCACAACCTATAATGGGTAGAATGTAAATGAATCATGTACTTAATTTATGTATATTTTCTAATTTCGAGGTTAACTAAATGTTTATAAAAATGTTAATACTCTGGTTAATACAATGACCTAGATCATGTAAAAACTCCTTCTAATTTCTGTACACCATTTGAAAATATACAAAAAAATACTTAATTAAATTTTTTTAGAAATAAAAAAAATCTATTATTTATTTCTAATTAGAATAAAATAATAAAGTCGAATCTATTAAATTTAAATATAGAATTTTTTCGTAATTACAGATGTAAACTATTTAGAGATATTTATTCCATTTCGATAATATATGGTTTTATACTTACGCACATTTTATTGAGTCTATTTTATATAGAATCATAACGTAACTTTATCCATAAAAATAACTAGTTAATTATTTTGGTTGAAATAATATTTGGTTTATATTAAAAATCTAGCTCTATAAATATGTTTTTACGGGTTAACTAAGCATAATATTTAAGTGAAATAGGAAACTGAAAGAAATTCTATGTATAAAAAAACAGACTAATATTCTTTAACTTACTTTAAAAACTATAATAATTTTATAATGACTCGCATCGTAATTTTAATTGTCATATCTTTTGGAAATATCAATTTAATCTACCTGTACAAAAGAAATTGTATGGTCTATTTAGTTATAAAATGCTGAATGTAAATTTATATTCAAATTATATATTATGCAGTGTTCTTGTACATTATGTAGGCAGTATGTAAAACGCCATAAAGTCGGAAGCTGGGCACCCATCGGTTACATTTTACGTGTACCACTCTTATTCTGACTGTCAGTAAAAATATACCAATTATTAGCATGATGGCAATGCTTGTGTCTTGCAAAAAACGCATAATAAAATAATAATATATTTAGCGGTGACAACTAGTTGCTGTGCAGTGTGCACACCCCTGGCTGGCAACTCCCACCACTACCTGCAAAACGGTTTTATTTAACTGGTGACTACGTTAAATCGGGAATGGCGGTGTGTAGGTTGGGAGTAATGGTGTGTATTCGCCTCGGAAAAAGAGACAGATCCGGTAAGACGTGTGTACCCGTCCTTTGAAAATTTGGAAAAATAAAAAAAGTCTGTGGTGGCCTGCAGCAAATATAATACGAGTGCACAAAATAATAATGCGTGTGTGGATGTACCGCCGCCGCAGATTGCGTCGAGGAGAAATAGTGTAAATGCCGTTACCGGTACCAATCGATCGCGGCGTGCACACGACTCGCACAGCGTTGCCGGATTGCGCACGAACACGCGAGTCCACCACCGTTCGAAGTTCCGGCAGAGTACCCGCGGCGACGGTGGCGGCGCTGCCCAATCGGCAAACACAACTATCGCTCCTCGACGGGCGGTTTATGGGTCGGCCCCCGGGGACGGCGGTGGGGATGACACTCGCTCGGGCCACTTAATATCGTGCAGTTTTCAATTCCGTAGACTTGAGATCCCCTCCTCGCGAGCACGCGCCGCTCACCCAAACGCGCACGCGCCCAACCCCGAACCCTCCCTCCGTCAGTGGCCGGCGGTGATAATAATATAATTTTTACAAATTTCAAATGGTCCCGTCGGGACGCGGGTTTCCCCGTTTACATATTGTCCTGTAGACGCGTGTCCCTTGCTAGCTTTTTTTAGCAACACTTAACATTTTAAAATTCGGAACTTTTCATTTTGTCCTCCACCCACATCGGGTGACTGTCCTCACATAGTGTCGGCGGCCATACATACTGTCGTGGTCATACTTTCGATTCGTTGTTGAAGCACATAAAAGAATAGATCAATCGTCTTCGCGCCCGGCTGCGCTTGTTCTTGGTTCTTGCGAAAATGAACGTGTAGATCTTTTGGCTTCCGGTCTCTATAACGATAGTACTGAAATCGCACGATCTATTGTCGTTTATCTTGTTATTTATTATCTTACTATATTATAAAGAAAGCCTACATAATAATAATTTAGTCTCCAATTACCTATTAAAATTACTTATCACTTAAATCAGTAGCACCGTTAATTCCATTCTGTACTCATTGGCAATAATATTGATTGTGGTGTAAAGTGTACCTAATAATATTATGTCTTTATATTTGGTTTATTCTTTGATTTTCGCACAATTCTAATAATATGACCTCAACCGAATTTGTTTACTGTTTATGATACAAAGCCGAGCAGCCGAGGATCATGACAAATGGTTTATTTTGAAAATATATTATCCAATACTTCCTAAACTATTTCTTTACTGGGTGATAAGTAATTTGTGTTACCGATATATAGCCATGGTAGGGTTAATCAATATGTCATACTGTAATGAAATATTCAAATAATAACCAATAGGTAATTACGCAATATTTTTACAACCCAAATTTTGCCAGTATACCTACCATACTTGTTGATTGGTTTTATTTTGAAGACTTATTAATCATTATAATTATACACATATTTTATAGAAAATTATAAAAGTTATTAAATTCCAAAAAATCATATTCGGTTACAAGCAATGAGTGGAATTTTCTACGATATTGTGTTTAAATGTTTTACTAACCTAGAATTTTAATATATGTTAAACCCTAAAATGTGATTAAGAGTGTTTCTGAATAATTTCTTATTGTAAATTTATATTTATGTGCAAAAAAAATTCTGAATTAACTACTATATATTATTATTAATAAAATACACGCAAATGTTTTGTATACGGACCTCAGATTCTTTAAGACATACCTATATCATTTCGACATAATTTAAATATAATATTTTAATTCTTGATAAGAAATCACGATAAGTATTTTTTTTGTACAATATGCCTACTTTCAAATTACCTATTTGCAATTGATTTGTGTCTAAAGTATCAATAATTAAAAATATATTTAGTACATAGGTACCTATTACAACAAAATTTAACTTAACGTTGTGGATATTTTATACTTTGTTTATGCATTCACTTAATTTAAACTATCTTAATATCAAATTAAATGAATATTTGATGAAATAAAAGTGTAGTTGTTTTTCTTTGAGATTTAGATTTAAGTACAATTCGAGATCATGCATTTTTACCTCTCACTATATTTTAAGACAAACTTTGTGGCAAACAGACCTTGCATAAATTATAAGAGATTACAGTTCATTTATATTATGTATTATATTATTATATTATACACATGATAATTCAATTAAATCTTATTAATGTCTAATGGTCATTATTTCTGATAAACTATAATTTCAATTTGTATTTGAATACAAATGTACAATTATAAATATAAAATATCACAAACATTTTATATCCTGTCTTCTATTAACCTAAAGTGACTTTTAAGATCTGTTAGAATTAAGTGTCAAGATAAATATATTATCTACAATTTCAACTAAAAATTTTAATTTTACTTTTGTTATTTTAGTTGATTTAATAATGTTTATTAATGGTATAATGAGTCTTACAATTTATATTTAATTAAAATGTATAATTTATTTTGTATTTAAACCAAATCATCATGAATTAATATTAGTGCACATTAGTTTCTTTGTGGCACTCTGTATTCATTTTGCATGACAAACTCTCTCTTTTCCATTTATGGTCATCATCTAAACATTTCCTTCGCTACATGACATATTTATTAATTATTTGTCTTACGGTTTTTACCACCCTTCTACCAAATTAGAATATGTAAATAGTAAACATGGTACACTAACCTATATTATATAATAATAATTACAATATTTCCAATCCCTACTCATTAATCAGTAATTTATTAAATTCAAAAGTCTTACTACTACTCAAGTACCTACAACTTAACATAAACTATTATATTTTGATATTATCTTTATTTTTGATCTAAATTAATAATTTAATTAATCCCAACTAAATAAAACTCATATTATCATAGCGTATAAACCTATAGATAATGTTAAGAGTCAAATATTTTTTTGAAAGTAGTTACCTATATATCCAGATATCACTTAAGTTTTCCAAAATTTATCTGAAATGGTTTAAAAAAAATAATTACTATCCACCTTGATGATTTTGTCATACTACAGTTTAAACTGGTAAAAAACAAGAGGGGCTAAGCAGTCTTATTACATTTCAAGAGAAAAAAATCAAAATGTTCTTATGATCTTAACATTAAGAATGAGGTTGTCATTTCAGTTATATTAATATTCCATATTGTGTCACCTGAATAGCTTAAGCACTTGAATACTATTTATTCAATAACTGCCTTTGATAATTATATTATAGTTTTAAAAATATTAAAGAATATGTTTTATTGCATATCTTATAACTAACTTTCAGCAAATATCTAAAAAAAACACTAAAAGAAAGGTAGTAACAAATTCTCAATCATATATCTTCTATAAAAAATTATCGGTCTACAATATGTTTAATATATTATTAATTTATTTCACATTTGATATGCTATAACTAATGTTTTTGTGTTTAGGTACTGGTGAATCAGGGAAATCCACATTTATCAAACAAATGCGGATTATCCATGGTTCTGGTTACTCCGACGAAGACAAAAGAGGGTTCATCAAACTAGTATACCAAAATATATTCATGGCCATGCAGAGTATGATCAGGGCCATGGACATGCTCAAAATACATTACTCTGATCCATCATGTTCTGTAAGTAATTACTACATTTTTGGTTAAGAGATAGATAATTTAAATATTTTGAAACAAGTGACTACACAATTTTTTTTTTACTCTTAAAATAGTCAACCAAATTGATATTAAATACTCTCATATACAGTGAGGGATTTTTGAAGGAAAGGTCCAGAGTTACTGCCCCCCCCCCCAGACATCAATATGTATATTTATTATATATAATATACACTATTATACAGATTTATTTATATACTGATATAAGAAACACCTCACCCCTACTCCCAGAAAAATATTGAAAATTTGCATAAAATTAGGTACATAAAAATTAAATTATGATATTAAATTATCTTCAATTATAATTAATGGTTCCTTATTAATACATACTTATGATTCATAAATTTAAATTTTCTTCGTAGTGGAAAATATTGATACACGTGCTATGTTTTTCATTTGCCTTCCATTTTTTTCTCTTTAAATATCTAAATTTTAAACATATTGTCGTTAGTTTGCAAAATATATATTATTATTGTTATGATAATATTAAAATATATGTATACTGTGTCTCATGTTGTAATATTTATAAATATATTTGAAGGAACGTGCGGAGCTCATTAAAAGTGTAGATTTTGAAACCGTCACGACATTTGAAAGTCCATACGTCGAAGCGATCAAAGCACTCTGGGGAGACTCTGGCATTCAAGAATGTTATGATCGCAGGCGCGAATACCAGCTCACAGATTCTGCTAAATAGTAAGTACAAAACTTTTCTGGGCTACACGTTATGTACTATGAATGATATAATATTATCTTATGACGTAAAAAGATGCATTTAACATGAATCCAGATATTGGTTAGTGAAATCTATCTATCAGTAAAATGTACGACCAACTAAACATAAAAATAATATATATGATTTTTAAATTTCTTTTATAGTCATATTATGATAACTGTATAGTAACAAACTTTAAAATATATAACTTTTAGTTACATACAATACACATAATAATTAATCAATACGTTTAAAGTAAATAGTAAATACCTATTTTGAATGTTTGTTTCTTTAAATTAAAATATTTTCCAATAACTTTATACTCGTTTACAGTTATTTAATGGAAATAGACAGAGTGGCCAGTCCAAATTATCTGCCCACAGAACAAGACATACTTAGAGTAAGGGTACCCACGACGGGCATTATCGAATACCCGTTCGATCTAGAAGAAATTCGGTTTAGGTAAAAATAAAAAAGCATGATGTATAATTTTAAATGTATAAGTTTTTTGCTTGCGCATGTGTTTATAATGTGTATCTATTTCTCTACATATTATGGCCAATTTATTTTTAAAATGCATGGATGTTATTGTTTACTGCTAATAATACTAATCAAACACACTACATAGGCTAGTCATTCAATGGTTTCTGCGAAATAAATATAACAGTAACATAAACATCATGTTCTAATGTACACTGAAAACTAAAATATGCATATCGACTAGAAGTTGTGATAGGGTAACAGTGTTAAAATTCAAAATTAACAATACGTTACAACCACTTAATTTTTAAATCTACTAATACCAAATCATAAAATGTATTTGATTACTTATAGTATTTTTTAAATAAAAAATGTATCTAAAACATATATACATAATATTTCACACAGTTACTTAAGCGACTTACCAAGAATCGAGGCCCCTGATTATTTACCTACCGAACAGGACATTCTACGTGCTAGGGCTCCAACTACAGGCATTATCGAGTACCCTTTCGATCTTGATGGTATTGTCTTCAGGTATCATTGTAAAACATGTAAATTACAAAAACCTTAAATATCCTGATGTAGCTAACCCAATAAGTCATCATGATCCATAAAAAAATTCAATAAACATATATTTATTATTTACCTATTAATATGAATTAAACTAATCATAATATATATATTTATGCTATTAACCTGTCAATAATCTTTTGACTAGTTACAATCACAACAATATGTTATAAGGTGTTGCACTTTGTTTGTTTAAATAGCTTTCATCAACATTCTATTAGCTTTTCATTTTATATTATTATTATTTATTACTGATTTTGAGAGTAAATTATCAATTACCTAGTTGTGCTTTATTTATTTATTTTTTAATATAAAATATTTCACTATTTAGAGAATAATAATAGCTTTTTTTATATTATTTTGCTTAAAAAACGATCTAACACATGCTTTTTTTATGTTAAGTGAATTTTGGTATTATTTAGTATAATTTTTATTTCAATTTTTTTTTTTAATAACAACCAATATTGACATTCAGGATGGTCGATGTTGGAGGCCAGAGATCAGAAAGACGAAAATGGATCCATTGTTTTGAGAATGTAACATCCATCATATTCTTGGTGGCACTTAGTGAATATGATCAGATTCTTTTTGAGTCCGAAAACGAAGTATGTATTTTTCATATTTTATTTACTGTCATAATTAATTAATTTTTTCTGTTATCATTTAATTTCAGAATAGGATGGAAGAATCCAAAGCATTATTCAAAACTATCATAACATATCCTTGGTTCCAACACTCATCAGTAATATTGTTTTTGAACAAAAAGGATCTTCTCGAAGAGAAAATCATGTATTCTCATCTGGTTGACTACTTTCCAGACTTTGAGGGTAAGTAGTTTTGCTTAATAATATTGAACAAGTATTATTTTATAATAAAAATGACAAACTGACAATATCTAATGTTTATACATAGGTTAAAGTATGAAAACAATAATTTAAGTTTTTGTTAAGAGGACGTCACACCCGCATGTGTTGTGTCCATCTTACAAATGTACAACATAGCAAAAAACTGTTTTGCGTGGAACAACTTTTGTCTTTCTGTGTTTGTAGTAGTGGCTCTAAAATTTCTGAACATATAGGGTAGAAAATTATCTATGCAACAGCTTACCTATATTTTAGATAACAAATGCAATGAAAGTTATTTGCTTCTGAACATTTTGTTTTTTTTTTTCATTTACTTATAAAAATGATTGGATAGTGTTATTAAAAAAAAAGCACTCTGTTGCACAGATAAAGTTCTTCTTTACGTGTTTGTAGTTCTACAACAAATATGGTGCAAGAAAGTTGTCCCTCTCAAAACAGTTTTTGGTATGTTGTACATTTGTAAGGCGGAGACAAGACATGCGGGTAGACGTCCTCTTAAAAGAAAAAGTATATTGTTTAAATTATGTCTTTTATACTTTAAAATATCTAACTAATAATTCCTTGAATTTATTAGTAATAAAATATTTTTTGTCAACTGAGTCTCTTAAGGAGTCCCGGTGCCAATTTTCCAATTTTCCCACAAATTTGAAAATTACATTTCATATTTTAGTTGATACCATATTTATAATACTTTTCCACTAATCTACTACTTTATGTTGGTACTGTGTATTTTATTCTGATTTTTTTATTTGAAAGAAGAAAACTTTATATTTTGCATTGAACTCTGATTTAGAACTTATTTCAAATAATGGTAGGCGTAAAATAATTTGTAAAAAAACCAAAGAATGTCTTATATTTCTCTATATTTTAAAAAAGAAAAAAATAATTTTGCTGATCTCACAGGACAGGATCATTATTCACGTAGAATGTATTTATGAAACGACATCAAAGGCACCGGGCGCCTTAAAAATAAAAATACATAATAATATAGTGTTTGGTTCCAACATATTATATTTACTTGATATTTAAATAGAATATTGTCTTTTATTATATGTATTTACTAATAATTTAATATAACAACTGTGGATTAAAACATTTTTCATACATTTTCAGTAATTTAGTATAGGTACCATAATTTTTAAACATTGGTTTTAAATAAACAGAATACTTCAGTTAATTTTTTTTTATTTTTTGTTTCTTTACATTTTTATGAAAAACTTTTTTGATAAATAGGTAGTAAACAAGACAATGATGCTGCCCAGCAATATATTTTGAAAATGTATCTTAAAACAAATCCAGACCCCGATCGCATGTGTTATTCACATTTTACAGTTGCTACAGGTTGTAAATCCATAACATAAATCCTTCGTCCTGTAATTATTCCTGTGAATTTCACATTACCGATTGTAAATTTGTTCATATGTATTGCGTTATTACCTTTTTGTTACATTTAACCCTTACCTCTCTAGTCGTTATTTTAGTAGTCTCAAACTTACAATTGACTGAAATAGTATAAAACTAAAAAAAAAAAATACTTTTAATTTATTAAAAATTTAGGTCCATCCAATTTTTGATTATTTTTTTTATTTAAAACTACTAAAAATTAGCTTAATTAAATGATAAATCTAAGTATGTTTTAATTTAAACTTCTTCAAGTAAAAAGTAAAATATTCAATTATATATCATGTATTGAATTGTTAATTCACCATCTGGTTATGTGATATCTAACTTGTGGATTTATTATGATATTTGTTAGTATTTATTTTAAAACTCCTAATTGTTGATTCTGTTACAAAAAAAAAAAGGGTACATAGTACAATGATAGTTGATTTTATATAACTACAAATAATATTCATATTTAAAATATATAACTGTGATTTTATATTTGTGACCAATATAATTGTCTTAGGTCCTCAAAGGGACGCCATAAGTGCACGAGAGTTTATACTAAGGATGTTTGTGGATTTGAATCCCGATAGTGAGAAAATAATTTATTCACATTTCACATGTGCCACAGGTATTTAACAGAATTGATAATCGTTGTGCATGAGCTTATGGGACTTCTGGTTTTTTTTTTGTGTGCATTGTATTCTCAATGTGGTTACGCATGTAATAATGAAAAAAAATGAGAGTTTATATTTTTACAGTTCAACATTTACCAAACATCAGTTTTATTTTACATAATATATACTTCAATACTCATTTGGTATATAATATTTTTACTGCCAAGGTGTTGTAAAGAAGCAATTTTAAATCATTTATTCAAATATATGTATAATAATGAACTTGGACTTATCATGTAACTATTACTATGTAGAAATAATTTTTTATCTTGATGTTATTAATAGAATCCAAAAACCATCCGTGTAAACAATTAGTGTAAGCTATTTTATCTTAGTTATTACAATCCCTATTATTTTCATTTTATCATTTTTTTTTTTACATGGAATAAAATTAATTAATTAAATAACAATATTAATTATGTTATATTTCTTCTTTACATGCTGCTTGTTTTTACAACAAATCAGATACGGAAAATATAAAACTGGTGTTTTGTGCTGTTAAAGATACAATTATGCAAAGTGCTTTAAAAGAATTCAATCTAGCCTAATTGTTATTAACTTATTGTTGTTATTATTATTATTATTATTATTATTATTATTATTATATTTTATTATTATTACTATTATTATTATTATTATTATTACTCTTTATTATTATTATTTAAAAATAACAATGCTAACAATTATTAGAACATTTTATTTTGATTGTGTTTTATTGAAAGTTATTAAATCAATAAAATATATTTTATTTTATTTTACTTAGTGTGTTTTGTTATTTTTCAATAATTTATATACCAAATTATTTAAATGGTATATTATTCAAAACATTACTTAAAAGCTATTACTCATTGATTTTGCATTTTCTTGTGGGTTTTTAAATTATGGGATATGTGCTTGAAATGCTGAACCATAATTTTTGCATGCTGATGGCTATCAATAATTTCTCATTATACATATGATTTTATTAAGGTAATATCAAACATTTTTAATTTACTAACACGCCATTTATATAAACTTATGCATGTTTTTTTGTTTAATGACAACACAAGCATGTCTTTTAAAATATGGTACTATAAAATCTAGATTAAAATTCGGCCAGTTAAATGATTAATTCAACGTATAATAACTTATTTTCAGATACCGAAAACATTAGATTTGTCTTTGCGGCAGTGAAAGACACCATACTACAATCCAATCTCAAAGAATACAACCTTGTGTAATGTTGCACAAATAATGCGAAACCCCATATGTTAATATTTTTTACTATTATAATGTTAAAATAACAATACGATTAGTATAAATCCTAATTATATATAAAAACAAACAACAAAAAAGTAAAAAAAAAAAAAAACGAGAAAATGTATCCTATGTTTTTTGTACAATATTTTTAACAGAGTACGTTTTCTCTCACATTTTTATCTCCATGAGTGTCAGTTTGTTAATGTTGGTGTCGTGTGTGAGTCGGTGTAAATCCGTCATGATTTCGATAACATAACATATAAAGGGTAACTTAAATTTTTTTTTAATACAAATTTTTTACTCATGTAAAAATTAATTGAAAGAAAATTATGATTAATACTTTTTATAAGAGCGCATTTTTTTTAATTTAATTTAATTTTTTATTTAAAAAAAATATATGGTTAATCTCCTATATGTTCATTGCATTTAACCCTTATGTTATAATAATTATACAAACTATATAATATTTAAATATTAAAAAAAAAAATGTCAATATGAAATACGTGTACATAAATCTAATGAGATTAAGAAATTATTAATATCAGAATATAAATGTTTAAGTGTAAGTAAAAACAAAACAATTCAACAAAAAATAAACAAATGTTATTTCCAAACCCCCCCCCATTTACCCATCTATGCATAATTGTTTTCTTAAATGAAAAATTATTTTTATTTTATTAACATCATGAGGTGGAGGTTTTACTTGTGCAATTTTAATAATTTATTAAACCCTTAAAAAGTGTGTAAGGGTAGTTCTAGTCAGTCTCGTTTAAAAACTATAAAACATACATTTTAAGCAAAATATTGTGAAATTTTCTGAGTTACCTGTGTAAATTTTATTGATTAAAAAAATTGTAATTTTTGGTATTTATATTGATAATCTATGGGAAACGTCTCAACATTGTGCTCACCCCATTTTCGCTCTGTATTTTATTTAAATTTTAAGACACTCGTTTTACTTGTTATTATTATTATTATTATTATTATTATTATTATTATTATTATTATTATTATTATTTAATATTTATACATATAATTATATGTTTGTGTGTGTGTGTGTGTGTGTGTGTGAGAGTGAATATATTATGCTTAGAGTCGAGAGGATTAACCTCGACAATCAAAACATATTATACTATCAACAAATGGCGCTAATGTTTTATTATTTTTTAATAATTGTTAACATATTATTTTCAAAAAATTAACAAAGCCCTCCCCAAAAATAAAAAAAGTTATCAAAATAAAATTATTGTAGTAGTAGTAGGAGTTGACCTTAATAACAGTAATAGTTAATAATATAACTATTTTGTATTGTTTTATACGACAGATACACACACACGCACAGACAATGTGTATACATACACCTCAAACGCTGTTTTCGGCCGTATACTAGTATATTATCGACGCTTAGATCAGCGCACTTCTGCTTTACTATTTGTTTGCGTTAAGCTGACCAGTTCGGAATTACAACAAAACATAAGTATCTAGTTAATAGTGATCTAATCCCCACCTATTTCTACTTCTTCTGCTACTACTACACCTCTGCTGTTTTCATTACACAGACCAAAAACAGTGTTCTTAATCAGTACCTCATCTTTCATATTTTTTTTCCGGAAGTAATTTAGTGAGAATTTTCAAGTGTATCATCGGACTGACCTCGTAATAAATATATATAATGTACGTCTAATAATAATGTTAATATAATTAATTTTTCTGGGGTGATCACATCAACTCGACCACCTGTTGTATTTAAAATTTAATGTATTTTTTTTTCCTTTTTCCATTGTATAAATATTGTTTTATACTATTGCAAGCCATTATTTTCAATACTTTTATAATATGATATGGTAATAAGAGAACATAATATATATAAACGACTATCGTCGCATGTGAATATGTTATGTATTTTATTTTATTTTATTTTTGTTTTTTATCAACAGTCAAACACAAATAAAATATTATATACATATTGTATGGATAATTGATGTTTAATGTTTTGTAAGCCACATTTTATTATTTATATTCTGATATTAAATTTTTGGTTTTATTAAATTATGTTATATTTTTTTCCGTTTTTTTTTTTTTTTTTAATCAAAGAAGAAATGCTGCCGGTTTTTTTTTATTATTATTATTATTATTATTATTTTTTTTTTTTTTTTGTTATATTTTCTTATCGGTCATCCGATAAAACTAGTGCAATTTCACTTTAAAATTATATGCAAACATAATTATTAAAAAGTACTTAGTCAAAGTGTTACCTGTTAGTTTACAGTACTAACGAAAATATGTATGTACATAATATATACATCTATCATATATGTATATGTATAAAAAAAATTATTTATATATACATAAATGTTCATGTATAAAAAATTGTTTTAATAACAATCAAATGTTGGATAAAAAATATTCCTTGAGTTCATTATTTTGATACACATGTATATAGTTTTTTTTCTGTGTGATGTCTAATGTGAATTTTTTTTCAAAAAGAAAATATACAATTATATCGCTTTTTAAATGGTTCTTTTTCTTTTCTATTTTTACGACATATATAATATATTTCGGTTTTCGTTTTCAAATTAATAACAATACAAAATATTTCAAAAAAAAAACTTGATTTATTCCATGCTATTGTTCATATTTTGGTTTTGAGCTAATAAGTTATGTCTTGACCATATACTTAATGTATTATTTTCTATTTTATTAAATACCTCCATTATCTTAATTATATTATTTTTCCATATTTTCATTTTTAAGTTAACATATTTGAGTTTATATATTATTATTCTATATGTTATGATTTTTTTTATTTTTATTTACTAATTTTTTTGTATACACAATATATATTTATATAGGTATATGTGGATCCTAAACTTATCTTTTTTTGTTTTCTCTGGCTACTTTATTTATCAATTTGAATGTATTGTCATGTATTTGACGGTGGTTTATGATTCATTGAATCTTGGTAATACTGTATTGATCAACATATTTTACTTATAGATTATATTTTATAATATGATTCTACCGCGTATTAATATAATCATTTAATAACCATAAGGTTCTTTAGTTTAACAAAAAAAAAAAAAAAACATAAAATTGCGTTGCCATCGTCAATACATTGTTTAACCACCAACAAGAGGAAAAATAATAAATAAATAAAAACCTTTAAATATTTATTTATTTTGGTCTATGTCGGCTATTTATCGTTCATTTTTTTGAAGTTCTGTGGTAAGGTTACACTACTAGCCAAGTTATCGCGATAATGAAATACCGTCTGTTCCATAACTATCAATTATTGCATTGCCTTTGTTAAGTTTAAATAATTAGGTTGTGTAATATACCTAGTATATTATACTATTATGTGCTTTTGAAATCATACTACTAAATACTACATTTTCACCTCTGTAATAGTTTTTTAGATAATCCTCTTCAAAAACGTGTTAAACACAATACATTAATTGATGTTGTTAATAGTTTTTCAATTCAATTAAGTTCCCACAATTATTAACCTTGCAACCTTAAACCAATTTAACATACATAACTTATCTTTCAGTGGTATTAATTTCAAACAATAGTACATAAAAATGCTAATTTGTAAAATTATATTTTTATGCTTAAAAAGTAATATTGCAAGTCCAAAATTAGTAGTTTATTTTAATTTTTGTAGAAATAATAATTTTTTATTATGTTTAACAATGTACGAGTAATTGTAAGAGAAGCCATAATACACAAAAAATTTGCTTAATTTATTTAGTTCAAACAATCTAACCTGACCATTTATTAAGAGGTTATTTTAATAGGTGTAAGTTTCAAACAATATTTGGGACATATCTACAATATGCAAGTTGCCTCCTTATGCCACTTCAGCTATTCTATTGTATAGTCATAAATGTACAGCTAGGAATGAACAATCATGTTGTTTTTTTTATTAAAGATAAAAATTCTGGAATATTACAACATATTTTTAAAAATATTTTATGAAAACAAATTAATATTATAGTACATCTACTAACTCAAAGCTTGCCATGCATAATAAAAACATTCAAATCTATACGAATAAAATAAAGGTGACTCAATGGAACACCAAAGTGATGTTATTGAATGTTAACCAGTGTTTTTTTTTTTATGTATATTAATTGCCAAGTAAGACATTTTTGCTGTAATAGAGAAATACATATTGTCATCATAGCCTCTGTTAAGAAATCTCCATCCTGTGGGTGGGGAGGCACTATTGGGGCCATGAGTTAAGCAATGATACAAGATTGTGAAACTTACCCTACCTAATGTGGCTCACTTACAAAACTATTCAGTTCGTCATGCATACCAAATTAGTAATTAATATGTTATATACACAGCAATAACATGATGTGTTCAAACATACCAAAAGTATGTAAAACATTTAATTGATTAACACAAATTAGTTGAATTAATGATAAGCATTTTTTTTTCTTGGCTGTATACTAAGTTCTACAATATCTAAGAGAACTCATAATTTAACTTAATTACAAAACTAAAAAATACAGTAATTCATTGCTGGAGCAATTCTAGTCTATCTCCATAGCGATTTTTTGGAAATCTGATTTTTCAAAGTTTGTTTTTGCTTGATTAATTTGATGATACTTTCAAAAAGTCGCTCTAACTTTACTAAGGAGTACACGCAGAAAATGCTTGTATATATATTTTGTGAAGATTCAAAGTATGTACGGTTATTTGTTTGTGTTACATTTGCCATGTTATATTCATTACCTACTTTATTATGTACCTAAAATTCCCAATTTTTGGTTATATATTTTTTGATGCTTTAGAAAATTACTGGGAATTTTCAATTTTGACTTCTCAAAGGTACTAATTTTTCCAAAAGAAAAAATACTGAAGTTGAACATCTTAAATCAATGCATTCATTGCTCCGCTAAGAATCTAAAATATTGTTTGAAATCATAACAACACATTTTGTATACAAATATTATATATTTTCAGCTAATAAAGAACATATTTAATGTATTTTTTTTCATTGTTTTTCATTTGTAATATCAATACTTAGAACCTACTATAATTCACTAAAAATTGAGAATCATTATATAAAGGATTCAGTTGATCTAATTATTCTTCCTCTCAATAATCCTCTAGACAATGTTATTTTTTCTAATACCGATTCATCTTCCAACTAACCCACATGCATTATTTTTTAAATCTACCCAACTCATAGGCAGGCCATGATTTTTAAGGGCCGAATAGGTACAACTGTCCAGGCAGGGCCACCTTCTAATACTCGATAAAAACAAGTAAGTTATCCATACAATGCATTGAATTACGAACATACGAAGCTAATCTTTTCTGTGTTTAAATAGGTTAGGTTAGACCCCAGTATATTATTAACATTCTTTAAAGACTCATATGCCATAATATCATGCCTAAAATAATTGATTAAAAACTAAAAATAACTAGTTTCCAGTGTCCCATCATAACAGTACAGTAGGTACATACACTTTAATATTAATTTTGTTACTTCCGTTCCCCAAGTTATGTATAGAACGTTTGTATGAAAAAATGTCTGCTGCCCCTGACTTGAAAATCTGCGCATGCCTGTGACCTAACCCTAGTATACAATATACACCTCAATATTTTAAATGCTACTATGTACTTCCATTATATTCATCATTCACTCACTTATACATAATATGACATTTGTCTAGTTGGTTTTATAAAATTCTCTTATACCATAAATGGAAAATTGTTATCACACAGCTTAATGATAAGTCAATAAGTTTTTTAATACTTTTTATTGGTAAAAAAAAAGAGTGAAAATGTGAACATTTTTGAAACAGTCTCAGAACAAAAATTACACTTCTATTAGTGGTTATATACTACTTGTACAGTTAATTAAACAACTTAAAATACATGAATTTTCAAACTAAAAAAATATTTAAATTATAAGACAGTCATTTATACTTTTATGTAGACATATAAAATAGTTTTTTATAATAAATGAAATTTCCCTTCGTGTTCGATGTGATCATAAAAAAATACATTATAGTTATCTACTGGCTTATTCATTACAGTGTTCAATGCAGTCTGGGATACCATTGCGCCTATTATGGAAGTTGTTGGACTCAGCTCGCAAAACAATTCACTAAAATACACAATTTAATATTAGTTTCATATATAATAAAGTTGTAATGATTTATTTGTATATTTACCCATAGTATTCTTCAAATACATCACTTTCTTTATTTTCTTGATCTGAGGACGAATCATTGATTTGAGGATGAATAATGGACTTCAATTCTTCTATATCTTCTTCAGATGTATCAGGATTTGGCTTACGATTAGAATCAGATTGAAATTTTAATAAAGCTAAAAGAACCACAATTAATAATTAAATTATTTTATTCAGGCACTAGTTAATAATACATGATCAAAAATAATATCAATTTTAATGTACCTGAAGTTAAATAATACAGCTGTGGTTTTTTTTTTGTACTAGTAAGAGTATCGATTTCAGCATTGTTTGGAAATACCTCACCATATAAAGAATGGGTGGAAATCCTAAAAGATAAACACAAAAATAAAATATTTAAAATTACAGTGAAACCTCTAAATACCAGACAACATCTTTGGTCACTGAAATTTTTTCCACTATTTGGAGGTGTCCGGAATTCAAAGGGGAAAAAAATTGACTGTACTCAACTTATATCAATTAAATATTAATAAATATGTAGAAATTGTATTCAATTTAATAATGGCATTATGCGTAGTATATTTCTACTATGTATTAATGTATGTATATATTATTTTCATTTCCCTTTGCCATTTCTCAGCGCAAGTTTAATTAACGCACAAACACCCATATTTGTACTGGAAACTTGAAATTCAAGAATTTTTATTTTTTATCTTTAAGTTAAATGTTTTCTTTACAACTAAATACGTCGTATATTTGAATCAAAAACTAAATACGAACAGGACGACTTGAAATAAACTACAAAATATTTCATCGAAGAGATTATATTTTGTGTCATTACTGAACAGATAAGATAAAGGTGATGGGTAATAGTAATAATGTAGAATTTACAATTTGCAGACTGTTATCTAGATATTCCACAATTATTATTCTAAATTTAATATAAAAATTTTAAATTATTAAAATCCCATAAAAGTGTCAGTTATTTAGAATTTCCTATATTTATAGGGTTTTGAGTTTTTCTATAAATAAGTAGTGAAAATGTACCCATTCCCAAAAAAAATATCCGCTATTTGGGGGTGTCACTTTTATGTTATTAATTAGGTTTTTAATTACTTACACATCTTGGTAAAAATATCCAAATAACCCATAAACATCAGCTATGAATATTTTTACATTAGATTTTCTGCAATTTTCACTCAGTCTTTTATAGGTACTTGGGGAGCATTCAGTGGCTATGACCAAATCGAATGAAGTCACAAAACTGTCCACATTTTCTTCGATTGGGGTAGTATCTACAATAACTTTGACGTTTGGGTTCAGCTTTTGTGCTGCACTGAAACTTGCTTTTGCACGCTATAATTATGTGATAAATATAACAATAACTTTATTACACTTTAAGCTTGGTAAAAACTAGATGCAGTACTTACGTTACGTTCTTCGCTATCGCGCGGGATAAGGAATTGCGAACAACGGTCTAATATGGAAACCTCTGTATGATCCTTAAGAGTAATTGAATTAACACCAGACAGTATCAAATTTTTAGCGATCTCTGCGCCTAAGCCTTGCATTCCGATTAAAAGAACTTTTGTTGCTCTTAGCCTAGGTAACGTTAAAATATGTATGAAACAAAAGTTAACTAACTACTATTTGCCAATACACCTACTTGTTCTGTCCATCAAAACCCCACAACCGAATTTGTCGGTCATAAACCTTACGTTCATCTTTCGACATCTCACCGTCACCATTCTTCATCAGTTCGGAAGCCATCTTGTATTTAATTCAATGAATAAATATTATATTTTATCACAAATTTGATTTTTATGTAGGTACAAATGTAATCTTTTCGAATTTCGCAGCCACTTTCTCCCGACGTGAATCACTCAAATCACGTTCGGCCGAACAATACGAATAAGAGTTGTAGTATAGTACAAGATTCGACAAACGGTATAACACTACCTATGATAGAAATTGAATTGGTGACAATTCAAATAAGATAAAATAGTGAATTTAGAGATAAATATTAGACAAGCAATTTTGAACTTACGGCAGCAGCAACTGGAAAACAGACGTCCGGCGTTCAACAGCTACAGCGTACAAAATAAAATCTGAGTGTACAATGGGCGATGGCCAATGGTTAGTTATTATGGCCGAACACGTAGTCACGTATCCCGCCAATCCGGCTAAAGAGTAAACGATAAAAGGACGCGGAGTAACCACAGTTGTAGTAGTTAGTACTAAGTACTATTAGTACTAACAAGTAACTTTAAATTTAAGTAACCGGCTATGGAGGTTTGTAGTTTGTACTGCAAAGACTGTATAATATTTATAAGCAGTTTACAATTTCCAAGGTTTATAGCACGGACTAAGATAGTACTATCATAGACCTACCATTCTTGGTTATGTTCCTAACCTAACTATAATGATAACCATAATATTGTTTCCGGTACAGATTATAATTCGTGGTGATTTCATGCAATAGGTATCGCCACGATTTACTAGATACTAGAGAGTAGAGATGGTCGATGGACTATGGAGCCACAGGGTATTTAACTCATACAAAAAAACGTTGCGATATCATTGGGTGTTTCGCCGAATTAGGTGGTCGATATGCACATATGCAACTCGACTTTTCGCATATTTATCCAGTATCCACAGAATTCAGTCTTGTAAAGTATTTGAGTAAAAGTATTTGAGTAAATGTATTTAAATACTTTTATGTATTTAGATACTTTTTAATACTTTTGAATAAAGTATTTGGAAAGTATTTAAATACGGTTTTGGACGTATTTGTATTTGAAAATCAAATACTTTTATTTAAATACTTTATCGAATTTTTCAATAATAAATGATTATTTATTATCTTTTTTCTCAGAAATCAAAGTAATATCATGACTAAATAATAATACAGTCATGAGTAATATCATTGAAATTTAGTAAGTTTATTTCCGACATAGCCTCCTAAAATGCAAAATATTATTGTTTTTTTTTTCATTGAAGCCTATATTAGTTTATTGTGATGTGAATTATTTGAAACTCCAAACTATAAACATAGAACAATAATGAAGCGAAACTCGATCAGCTGATTCGGTTTACGACTTTACGTTTACCTATGATCTTATTTTTTTTCCTGTTGAATAATTGAATAGTATACATACGTAATATATACATTAATACAACTATTTTCACTACAGAAATATAGCATTTATATATAAATTATTTTCTCCAGAAGCTAGGTTTGTTGTGGAGATAAAGGTTCTTATAATATCTATTTAGTTCTCATACAGTAAATAATTAAAACGATCATTAGGTGATTATTAACTTATCATACAATTATAGGTACCTTGGTTAGTACCAGAATATGGAACATGCATTATAATATATGAAATATTAAGTAAATAATAATTAATATGTACAGTTTGAATGAGTTTGATCTCATGGTCAAATTTAAAGTTAAAATATCAGAGAAAAAGTATTGAACCCAAAGGTAAAACTTAAAACAAATGTATTAAAATAAGTATTTGTGTTTAAATACTTTCTAAGTATTTGTATTTGTTCTTAAATACTTATTGAAAAAAGTACTTTAAATACTATTTAAATACTTTTTAAGTTGATGTATTTGTATCTCTATTTAAAAACAAATTAAAAGTATCTTTTTACAAGATTGCCACAGATACCTATTGTACCTATGGATATTTATGCTAGGAGTTGCATTGCGCTTGCTCACATCCATCACCTAATTCGGTGACTCGTCGTTATATCGGCAACAAAATCATACGCTGTGGCTCCATCCATAGTATATGACCTAAGGACAAAATAGATTACTAGAATTACTATTATTACTTCTGTGCACTTTTAAAGATAGTATGTGTGATATTTTCGTATTATTACTCTAAGATTTTAAGTGATTTTAATATAATATTTATGTTAATCAATATTATCTCAAAACTCTGGGAGAAGCTGATTTCGCAGCCCATGGTCATACTTTTAAAAGAATCGCTGAAAAACTCCAGATTATTTACGAATTATCATCTGGATTATTAATGATATTATAATCTAAGATAATATAATACAGGGGTCAGCAACCCACGGCCCTCATTGTAATTTATGTGGTTGGCAAATGATCTAGCTACCAATTAATAATAATATTAGAGGATCAAAATAAATGATAAATAAAATATTAAGATCAAATCACGATTAAAGATAAACTCACAGATATATAATAACACTTGTATTATATATTGTGGATACACTTTAATCGTGATCAAAATATACGGCTTATGATAGTTATTATGGTAGATAACAAATTTATTTTATACCTACCTATACATACACATTACCCCTAAATAGGTACAAACTACAAAGTGTAAATGTAGAATTGCCGTATAAAAATAAGTATTTTGGTAAATTTTCCACTAAATATTTTTTTCTATTATTTATTACTTATTATGGTAGATAACAAATATATAATATGTACAAAAATTGTACTTCCACACTAAAATACAAAGCACAACTTACTGTAGATCTGTAGGTACAAGAATAAGATTTTCGGTAAATTGTCCACTCTCCACTAAACTTTTTTTACGATTACCCTTGAAAATACGCCTTTGGATTGGCGTGATCTGGAGGGGGGGGGAAATGGAGTCTTTTTACTTTATGGATTTTTAGTTTTTAGTTTTTAGATTTTCAGTGGTCGGCAACCGGCGGCCCGCGAGTCTATTAAATACGGCCCGCTTTAAATTCTATAACAACGAAATTTAATTAAATATAATATCAAAAAAAATCATATTGTATAAATATAATTGAACGTTTCTATCAGTCATATTTATAGGGTGTCACCGGTTTCCGCCAAAAATTCCTTCCGTTTTCCGCCAATACCTTTTTCCGCCAAATCAGAAAAAACGTCATTCCTTTTTCCGCCAATTGTAAATTATTGAATTTTAAAGTTTAGGAACCCTTACGTAAAGATTTAATAATTGCACACTATAGAGTTAAAAAATAATAATATTTTTTCCAGTTATTACTTAATATTATAATATTAGTATGAATATTAGTGTACCGACAAAATAAGTCAAAAATATAATCAAGCCTGACATATTGACATAATATTGTCATCAAGACAATGGCAAATATAATATCATTTTTTTAATACTTATATCTATTATACCTAGTACCTACCTAATAAGTGTTATGATAAAATTATATTTTTTGACTTATTTTGTCGGTACACTAATATCATTACTAATATATAATAAGTAATAACTGGAAAAAATATTATTATTTTTTAACTCTATAGTGTGCAATTATTAAATCTTTACGTAAGGGTTCCTAAACTTTAAAATTCAATAATTTATAATTGGCGGAAAAAGGAATGACGTTTTTTCTGATTTGGCGGAAAAAGGTATTGGCGGAAAACGGAAAGGTAATTTTTGGCGGAAACCGGTGACACCCATTTTATAATAGTAGATATACCTTGACACTTTGACAGTTACCGATAAGATAGAGTAGATTGTAGATACGACTAGTGTATTTGGGTTATAAATTATAATCTTAATTTTCGATTGTGCTCAGTAACATTGCGTTTTTCAAACGGGTATGTGCTGTTGCGTCGTGAGTAATTTTATAACATTTTAATTTATATTTATATTTTATATTAGTAATCGTTTATTTGGCTGTTAATTTAAATTTTAAACTAGTTAAAATGAATGTCAGTAAAAAAAGAAAAATAGATTCTGAATGTCGTGTATTTCAATATAAATGGATCAATCAATACTTTATTTGTTATTGAAAAGAAAGGAAAAGTCATGTGCCGGGCGGATGTGTCGTGGTTGTTCGTGAATTAAGTTCGGTATGGAAAGAATACAATATTAAACGGCATTATGAATCCAAGCATAAAGTTAAATATGACTCCTTATACGGACAGTTAAGAGAAATTGAAGTTAATAAACTACAAAAAGCTCTAACCGGAGACAAACGACTTTTCAAAAATAACTACTCAAAATAAAGCCATTATTTCTGCTAGTGTGAATGTAGCTATGTTGATTGCGAAAGAGGGAAAACCATTTACAGACGCAGAATTGTCAAAAAATGGTGTACTAAACATTGCCGGCAATATTTGTCCAGATATTGTACATAAGTTTGAAGAAGTCCCATTATCTGCTCGTACAATAACAAGACATTGACAATTTCAAAGTTTTTTGATTGAAATTAATGCAGAATATGGGAAAGGATAAGGAAAGGACTTGAAAATCAAACTTGGATTTCTGAACTGGCTTTTTGTCTTGACATATATTGAATTATATAAATTAAATCAACATAAAACTACAAGGTAAAAATCAAATTATTCCTGATATGTGGTTTCATATTAAATCTTTTGAAATAAAATTGAAGCTATTACAAACTCACATTGAAAAAAATGAATTAACACATTTTCCGAATTGTAAAAAACTTTTTGAATCGTCAGAATTTTCATTATCAACAGTTAAATTTGTTGAAACTATTTCGATACTTCAACAAGAATTTAATAATCGATTTCAAGATTTCAAACGACATTCACAATATTTTCAACTATTCGCCAATCCGTTTAATATTGATGTTGAAGATATACCTGTTGAGCTTCAATGGAATAATAGATTTGCAGCCACAAGATATCTTAAAAGACTCATTCAAAGCATCGCCTTTAATTTTTTTCGCTGAACTTCCTGCATCATTTTCAAAAATTAAAAATATAGCTGCGAAATACTTCAGTATGTTTGGATCAACTTACGTATGTGAACAGGCCTTTTCTCATATGAAAAAAATTAAAAACCCATACCGTTCACTCTTAACTGATGATCATCTCCACCATGTACTTAGAGCCAGCACAAGTAATTTTAATGTGGAAATTGAAAAAATAATAAACAATATCCAACAACAAAAATCACATTAAGCCTATTAAGCAGTTGTAATTTCCATACTTTTATACCTATTATAATAATATTATTAAAAACTGTAATTTTTATGTTCTATTAATCTATTATTTTAAAGTTTTAAACAGTTATTTTTTTTCTTAGTAAATAATTTGGAATATAAAATTTTAATTTTTGTCTGGCCCGCGAACTCTTTTTAAGTTATGAATGTGGCCCGGGAGTTTAAAAAGGTTGCCGACCACTGCCTTAGATCATACACCAACAGTAAACAGTTTTACCACAGACTGCCACCTCAAGTATTTACCCAAGATTACCATAGACTTAAATAGGGTCCTCAAATGCATAGGGCTTGGCAGTGGCGTATATAGGGGGGATGCCCCCTAGGCCAGAGCCCATTAGTCCAGTCAAATTAGGAAAAAGATCGGAAAAAATTCGCCCCCAACTGAATTTTGGTACACACTTAAAATGTACCTTCCCAATTGACATACTAAAAGTCCTGACGCCTAACCCCTGTGCGTATCTCTCCACCCCCCAAAAAGGGGTGAAATCTACCCTCCTACTATTTTTCTTATAACTCGTTAACCATTGAACTCACGACAAAAAAGTATAGGACCAAAATTAAAGACCGTAAAATTTACTATAAGAATATAATATTGTAATCACTACAATTTTAACGTAGTAGTTTTAAGTAAACTTTTTTTTAAAAAAAAACTGATTTTTTTTTTTTAAATTTTTTTTAAATTTTTTTTAGCCAAATTTATAGTTTTAAACCAAAATGACCTAGAAGAAAAATGATAGCCCTTTGTTTTTACATAATATACTTTTTTTTATTTTTTTTTATATTCATTACCATAAGATTTAAGGTGGTTGTTATGTACGATGCGGCGGTGTTATATCTGTACGGTTGATAATACGAACCAAGTTCGAACATAATGTAAAAATTCACCGAAAGCTGAATATTGGCATACACCTACTATATACTTCATTAATGATCATACTTAAAGTTCTGATGCTTACCCTTCGTGCTTACCCTTCTAACCCCCCCCCCCCGTCTTCAAAAGGGTGGTTTTACAATGCTTTTACTTATAAATCACTATCCTTGGAACTGACGACCAAAATATACAGAACTAAAATTAAAGACTATTACATTTACCATAATATTATAATATTTTGCATACTTAAATGTTTACAAGATAAGTTCAGTTATAAATACAACTTTTATGAAATGTCTTTACAGTTACAATATGTTTATTTACAATATTATTATTTATTAGATTATTATACTAGTAGGTACTACTTAATTCTAGAATTTTTACAGAAAACATTAAAAAAAATTTACAATACCATATTATTTACACTAAGTACCAACATTTTTATTTTATTTGGTTCCGGGTGAATGTTGTTTTGCCTGTAACCAAAAAAAAATTGAACGTTATTTAGTATTATAGTTTACAATTATTATATAATATATAAATTTAAAGTAAATTCATACCTAATTAATTAAGTGGTGCAGTTTTGCACAGCGGTCTTTTTGCATATGTGTGTCTATATTATATCCATTTCTTCATCTGGTTATTCGTTGTCTTCGTCTATGCTAGTGGTCCATTGTCCATCTTTATACAACTCCACGTCGTCGTCGTCGTCATCATCACAAATTAGTTGCTGGTTTAAACACGATGTGCCTTGACAATTTTTACATATTATGGAACATCGCATTCCCGCTTTTTTACAGCCACAATTTTTCTCGCATGATTTAGTGCAAGCACAACTTATAACCGATAGAAGGGAGTCTGTTGCTGGTGGTTTCTTTGTAAAGATCGGTATTATTTTTTTATCTACTTTTTCCCAGCCCCAGTCTAACGGATTAAGTATTTTCCCACGCCAAAGTTGTACTTGTAAAATAACCCTAAACAAATTCTGCTTTGCTGAATCGACTGTTGGAGGGAGTCGAGAAAGTTTGGCTTCTTTTTTGCTGGAAGCCCCTGTTTTTCGGAATACATCATACCTGTGACAATTCAATGTATTAGTGTTTGCTGGTGCTTTAAATAATTTTAACAAGTACTTTTCTCCCGCACTCAAAATTTCCTCATGTGTAGCTGATTCATTGATAAAAACTAATAATGAATAGTGTAGTTCTGGATGTGCTTGAACTGTTTTTAAATGTTTAATTTTCCCTTGTTGAAAGATAGCTGACGTTGTATCACACCCACCAATTGCATGTACAAACAAAAAATAAGGAAGTTCAACTTTAAATTGTAGCCGTAAATGTTTTATAGAGTATGATCTAGTTTCCGTACTTCCTTTGCCTGGTTTTTTAAAAATAATCTGCGAATCATCTGGAGTTAACGTCAATAAAAGTATGATCAAATCTACGTCCTCTCCAATGACCACAACTTTTGTGTTATAATTTGATTTTTGTATTGCCGTATGTACAATAAGTGTGTCAGCATCGTCTTCTGCTTGTAATACGTAAATACCTGACTTCAATAATTTCCCTGTCAACATATTGATATCAGCCTCAACTTATTTTTGTCATTTGATAGAAATGATTCTTGCGAAATAGTTATGTCCATCGTCTCTTCGATCAATACCCAAGGATAGTGATTTATAAGTAAAAGCATTGTAAAACCACCCTTTTGAAGGCGGGGGGGGGGGTTAGAAGGGTAAGCATCAGAACTTTAAGTATGATCATTAATGAAGTATATAGTAGGTGTATGCCAATATTCAGCTTTCGGTGAATTTTTACATTATGTTCGAACTTGGTTCGTATTATCAACCGTACAGATATAACACCGCCGCATCGTACATAACAACCACCTTAAATCTTATGGTAATGAATATAAAAAAAATAAAAAAAAGTATATTATGTAAAAACAAAGGGCTATCATTTTTCTTCTAGGTCATTTTGGTTTAAAACTATAAATTTTGGCTAAAAAAAAATTTAAAAAAAATTTAAAAAAAAAATCAGTTTTTTTTTAAAAAAAAGTTTACTTTAAACTACTACGTTAAAATTGTAGTGATTACAATATTATATTCTTATAGTAAATTTTACGGCCTTTAATTTTGGTCCTATACTTTTTTGTCGTGAGTTCAATGGTTAACGAGTTATAAGAAAAATAGTAGGAGAGTAGATTTAACCCCTTTTTGGGGGGTGGAGAGATACGCACAGGGGTTAGGCGTCAGGACTTTTAGTATGTCAATTGGGAAGGTACATTTTAAGTGTGTACCAAAATTCAGTTGGGGGCGAATTTTTTCCGATCTTTGTTGATTTTTGATCTAATTTGACTGGACTAATAGTGAAATTGCAGGTTCAATTAAACCATTTCATGTATATCTACACTGTTTACAGTTTTTCACCATGATTAATTTAGCCGGTTGATTAAAATCGTTAGGAGGAATCAACAAGGAAATGTTAGATTGCCAAGACTTGCTTTGATGACTTTCATGTGTTAAATTCACAATACGATAACATTAAAATATATATTATGTATGTATGAAATTGTAAATTATTTTTTAAAAAGAATTAAAAATGAAATTTACATTATAATCATAAAGTTTAATTGCGCAATTTTTATTTGTATTTATAACCACCCAGCTCCTCAAAACATGTATAGTTATGGCTATGTTATAGTCGCGCAAGCTGACTAGTGATAAATTGGCCCATAGTGAAAATAATTTATATATACGCCAGTGGGGCTTGGGCATTTAGTAAAAATGGTTTTATACAGCTATAATAAAATGTATAAAATATACATCTTTTGACTTCTTTATATATAATATAATACTCAAGTGTATTTTGTTATTAACTGTGCACATTTTTGAGCTCATAAATTGTAGGTATAATGTATTATAATAATTAATAAAGATTGCCTATATCTATATGGCTATAAATTAAAATTAAACACATATCTTAGGGAGGGAGGGCTTAAGATGGCTCAGACTCAGAGTGGGGCAGTGGGCTAAGCCCCACTCTCTATTTACATCAATGTAGATTACTCCGAAGGCCGAACAAGCTTATTAATTATTATTTATTATTATCTATATATTAGTAGGTACCACGATGGGCACGATTTAGAGAAGATAACTCTATTCTCTACATCGGGTAGATACTATGTACGGGGAACGGAAAAAAAGTCTGCTGGAAAAAAGTCCCGGAATAAAAGTATCCGGAAAAAAGTCCCGTGCAAAAAAAGTTCATAGAACTAATGAAATATACAATTTGGAAAAATTAAAATAAAACTTATAAATTATAATATAACCACTCTGTATAATATATTAGTTTTGTGTGAAAGATACGTTAGTACAAATACAATTATAAAATCTACTATACACATACGACATATTATATCTAATATACCGTATAGGTATATTATATTTTAAGGTAGGAAGGTTAATTTATAATATTATATTAAATTCTCGGCAGAGCGAAAATATGTAGGTATTGATTTTATAATGATGTGTGTTTTTTTTTCTGTTTTGTAAGCCATATTTTGTGTAGTAAAAGTGCTCCGATTTTCGATATCAGCATATATACTGATAGAAAAGTGAAATTATTTAGTATTTTTGGGAATTAAAAATTAAAAATTTCAACAAAAAAAATGGTAACTTTTATATACAAAACCAATTTTTGAAAAAGATTTTGTTTTTTTTTTAACTCAAAAATAAATGACTGTAGAACCTTGACATTATCAACAAATATTTTTATAAGTATTTTCCTTAAAACATTTTTACAATATTTTGACTATTTTTGAGCTGGTTTTGTTATTCGTTAATTTACTTATTTATGTAAAATAAATAACAATAATTGTTGTAAGCACAAGGTAATATATTTTTAAGTATATTTGAGCGTTGCCCCCTTACCTAAGTATATAGGTAATATCATAATATTAAATAAATGCCACTGCCAAATATGAGTAATAACATTTTGGGCCCCGCAGGCCGCAATTTTACTCTGCCCTGGGCCCCACAAATCGTCAGGACGACAGGACGGCCCTGAATAAACGATAGTTTGGCGTGAAAACCTGTAAATAAAATTAGGAATAAGTTTACTATTATAAACCACTTATATATTTCAATTGTACAGTATAGAATAAGTCAAAAATAACCGATAACATTGTCTAAAGGGCAAGGGCATAGAACTAATAATGCATGTGAAAGTTGGAACTCTCGATTTTCACATATGGTTGGACAAAATCATCCAACCATTTGGAAACTAATTACTAAAATAAGATATGAGATAGCTGCAAATCGCGCAAAATTAGCTTTAAATGAACTGGGTGAGCAATCAATAAAAAGGAAAAAAATGGAAATAAGATTAAATGATTTATGCACACGTTTTGGAGAAAATAAAATTGGACTCAAAAGGTTTTTATAAAAGCTATAGCACAAAATATAAAGTTACAGCAATAATACAACTAGTAATTTTTTTTTTCTAATCCGACATCTAACTTAATGATTTACAAATGTATAATTTTTTAATAATATTATATTGACTATGATTCAATGAGATATTTTTTTTATAATTTTATAATTATTAGCTATTATTTTTGTTTTATCAGTTTTGTATTTAGTAGTTACCTATTATATGATAACATAATTATTAGATATTATCTTTAGAATACAGACTTTTTAGCCCCAAAACTTTTTTTCCCTGAGATTTTTTTTCAGGGTACTTTTTTTCCGGGACTTTTTTTCCTACCATCTTATTGTACCATCTATAAACATTAATATCTGAACTTTGTAATACCTACGTGTTACTTTAACTCTAATCATTATTGTTTTTGACACAAACCTGGAAATAATGTTTTGTGGTTTTTCAACCAGTTACCCGAAACCCGCAAAAAAAAATTACGGTTTTTGAATACGAAGCCCGGAATATTTCAACACGTTTCGATTCCCTAATTAATACGCTACATATTACATAATAACTTGCATATCTCAGACGCCTTGGCCGAGGGTTATGTAGACATAAAGTTACGGTTGAGTGTTCACGCCTTCACGGTTTCTCAGTAGTTCCCGGGACACGTGCCCGCGGCGGTGGCTGGAGAGCGCGATCTAGTGCCGTCGATTCATCTTGGTCTCCCACATTCCCACGTACGGTGATTTCACCGAATCGATGTCGGGGAAATATGTGGGCGGCGTCGACGGCGCACCTGTTGATTAACTCAAAAGCACGTCTTCGGTTCTCGTCGGCAGCTATATAAGTCTGCTATTATAGTCCCCCCCGATATTGGCGAGAATCGTCCTCGGATGGCACTGCGTCGGTGGTTGTGGTTGGGCACTTGGGCGACTGTACCTATTAACGGACGACGTAGCGGATAGCCGATAACAGGTCGCAGACACCTATAATATAAGTGCTGAACGGTGAGCACTGCTGCACCTACGTGCGTACCGCTGCAATAGTGCAATACGGCGGCGGCTGCCTCGCACTTTCTACGGAGGCAGTACTCCGCAGGACCATGTCGTCTGCCGATTGCACGCACTCCTCCACGACTGTTGCCGCATCGCACCGTCACCGCCGACCGCGTACGTTTTTAGGGCAACGCCAACGGATATCGGATGCGACCCGCCACCACCTGTGCGACACGGCCACGATACTGTCCATGTTATAATAGAAATATTGCCAAACATAAATATCGTTACAGGTATATTGTAACTTACTCGGGCGGTCCATCTTCGGCAAGCCGAAGCGAGTATTGTGGTTTTTCAACAGCCGCCGCGACATTGAGTGCATCACGGACACTACCCACACGATCTGTACATGTGAGTATCATTGGTTTTGATTAGTGGACCCGGTGTCTTGACTACTGTATGACGAACGATATGCTTAATATTATGTTTAATTTCACGGGGGCACTGGATCCGCTAGCCACTAATCCGATGTCATCTTGAATTCATGATTCTTGAGATCCATATGCCTAATGTCTAAAATAAAACACATCTTAAACTGTGTTTTGATCTCATAGCTCTAACTGGTTATTTTTTCTCTGATCACAACGATTCCCTCGTTTACAACGGATAGGTGTGTTGTTGTATTTTTGCATCATTGCGTGTGTGCTGATTTTCTGCTCTCTTTGTAATTTGGTATACTTATTGTAACTAATCTCAAAAAACTAATTGTTCACAGCACGTGGATAGTCACATATTACATTGCCATGACTCCGACGCATGTAGGAGATGTCAAAAATTCTGCCGCCGAGGGATTGCCAGCAAAGTTTGTTCTGTCCATGAGAACACTGTTCGACATTTTGGATGATAAAAGAACTGGATATGTTAAATTTTCTGGTAAATCTCTTTTCCATTTATTTTTTCAAGTGATTATTTCATTTATTTTTGTTTTATAGAAATTGAGACGCGATGGCAAGATGATGGTACAAAAGGTTTGCCAAAAGGTGTATTAGATAGTCTTCGAAAAGTAACTCCACCCAACGGTCTACTGTCTTTCGACCGTTTTTGTACTGGCTTAAAAATGTGCCTACTTCGAAATCAAATGGAAAATGGTCGTCGGGATAATGACTCTGTACGACCTCCATCAGCTCCACTTTTGGATATAGATATTAAACCTAACGTACAATGGACAAATGGAAATATGGCTGCCATTCGACCTACTCAGCAAAGAACTCTGAGTATGCCACAATTAGCTTTGGAGCGTAATAGTAAGGAAGTGCATCAGTTACCACAAAAATCCACATCATCGTCACTTTTTGGACCACCAAAACCCCCACGAACTGCTGCAGGCTTAGAACGAGGCCTACAGCTTGCTTCTGGTGAACGCATTATCGATAAGGCTGAAATAAGAACAGCCTTGCAAAATTGGCAGTTGGGAGTGTTATTAAATGATCAGAGCAGTTCTAGAAGTGAAAAACAATCAGGTACTTCGTAAAATCTATGAAAATTCAACAAATTTATACTTAAAGTTGCAACTTAACAATTATAATTTATTTCTAGGAGAACAAACGTATAAAAGAACTAATCAACGACGAAGAGAACCGAGACGCCATACACTTCAAAGTGGTGTAGATTATAATATGGTGGGCATATTTTATATTTTATTGAAATAACAATTACTAGCTGAAATTAAATGTTTTTTCATTCAGCTGAAAAGAATAAAGCAAATAGAACAGGAAAAAGAAGTCCTCATGCATGGACTTCAAGCTGTAGAAAGGGCAAGAGACTGGTACCATAAGCAGATATCTGCTGTTCAAGAAAAAATGAAATACCTCGGTCGAACAAATTCACATACAGTTAGTTAAACAGACTACTTATATTATATCATCAATATATTGTATCTTATGTCTTATGTGTCAGTTCAGTATTTTATTTTTGTAATCATTAAAGCAGGACCAATGGACTGAAGCACAACAGGAGCGTATTGAGTTACAACGGGCTCGAGTCTTGGAGGTCAATAGACATTTGTCCGCATTAACAGATGGTGGTGAACGATGGGGTGGTCTACCATTGCACATGAACTTAGCTGTGCATTCATCAAATAATCCTGGAACGATGTTACATCAAAATCCTCAAGTAATGGCTACATTAAAACATCGCAACCATATACTCACTGAGGTTGGTTTTATTTAATATTACATAATTTTATTTATTTTTTCTATTATCCTATTTCATATTTTTTTAGGAATTAGGACAAAAAAGTGAAAGAATATCAACATTAGAAAGAGAAAAAGCGACTCTTATCAGAGAATTATTTCAAACACGAACCCAGATGGGACGTAAATTAGGGAGATTAGATAGTAAACCTGATGGCCAGTCATATATACCTTAAAAATTGGAATCTGTTACCAAGTGCAAAAAAAAGATGCACTGTAAAAAAAAGAAAAACGGTGCTTGAATAGAACAGAAAAAAGAAAAAGATACCATTATTTTTGAGCTCAATTTTAACAGGTACCCAATATATTATTTTGCTATTTTTTCTGTGTTAGTACAATACAAATGGTATTGTAATGATTGCCAGCCATACCTCAATTTTATCCGTGTTAAATGTTATTTTTAATTAGTCTAAACTCAACTTTTCTCATTTAATGCAAAACAATTTTTAATAAAATATAGTCTTACATTTTTAGTTATAGAAACAATCATGGCTTACAATTAGGTACAGCTATTTAAATTTGTTTAGAGAGAAGTTTAGTGTCTTGTTATAAAGTATATTATGTATTAATTTTGTTTATAATAAATAATTTATTCAACTTGTTAACCCTTTCACTGCTCAAGGCGTACTATTAAGTCCAAAACATTTACACTATTCACTGCTCTAGATGTACTATTATATCTCTATGTATTTAAATATCCTCACATTCCGGTGACCATACACGTTTTGGAAATCATGGTTCTCATTATTTTAAACTTAAATAATTAAATCATAAAGATCTCAAAATAAAAATACAATAAATATTTTACTTTACGTAGCATTACCAGTTACAGTGGATAAATAGTGTAGCAGTGAAAGAGTTAAATATGTAAAACTGCCATACAAGTGAAGTAGTTTTCAAAATAATTTTAACATACGTTTTCGTCCACCTCTCTGTGATGCCAATATTATTCTGATTTTAAACTGGACATTTTTAAGTGTAATAATTGTTGCTAAATTTTTAATATTTAATAAAATAAGATAACCTTAAATTTGTTTAAATAATTTTGTGCCATAAATATTTAATGTACAATATTGAGTAACCTGATGTAAAATATATATTTATATTATCATTATATTTTTGGGATATGGCAATTATTATGTTATTACTTATTTAAAAATAAATAATATTTTACAATATGTTGATGTATTTTTTCTAAATTTTATACATAAAATGTTTTTAATTTATGAACATTGTTAAATTTGTATTTTTTAATAAATAAATTGTCGAATTAAAAATGTTTTTGTATTTGTATAGTATATTAGCATATACAGTGGAACTCTGATAACTCAAACGCCTATAACTTGAATTTTCAATAAATCTAATGAATGTCTAGGACCCTCCATTTCAATAAGTTTAAAAATAATAAATTTTTTAAATAACTCAAATGTTCGATAAATAGAATTTTTTTTATTTCCCCATCCAATTTGAGTTATAAATATTTCACTTAAATAATTATATACTTTTATTTTAATTTATTAATTAATTTTATTATTTCTTGTTTAGTTTATAACATATTCAATAGGATTCATATATTTAAATTATTACAGAATGTGAATGAAAATAAAATATTCTGATTTAATATTTTTTACTACGCATTAGTATATCTTAAATTGAGTTTGAAAAATAGATTAATAATGAAAAAGTGAAATTTTTATAGAATTTTACTAATTTAGTTAAACCCAGAATCTGAATGTCTTGAATAGTAAACATACATTTTAAGATTTTGTAGGGTAACCTTGTCTCTACAATGGCACAGTATCTCACTATTTCTAAAATTTAAATGCTAAATATTCAATATTTATACATAGATACTTTTAGAAATTGTTCTGCCTCAGATTATGAAATAATAAATTAAATTATAAGAGTAAGAAACTAAGAACACCCAATGTTATTAGTTAACATCAGGTGTTTTATTTATAAAATCTGATTTTACAATTAAAAAAAATGTGTCATAAAATATTAATCAAGTGACCCACACAAAGATCAAGAAAATTCCCGATTTTTCAATGTGCAAATATTCATCCCAATGTTCACTCAGCATTTACTTTACATGTAAACGTTACACATTAATAAAAGAAAAAGTCCCTCTGCTATACAGTAGGTTACAAAGGGGTCACTGTATAATGAATGGTATTAATTTTGAATTCAATGATATAATATTGTATAAGGAAAACGATTCTGAGCGGAGACGGTATGTCAGTCTAGGTATAAGACATATTATATAGGTACTCATCTATGGCATTAAAAAAAAAATTGTACCTATAATAAATTCCAAATTAATCATATCACAATTGCCATTAGGTACTTATAACTTGTTAATTTGTTATACATTAACAACAAACCTTGATACTATAATAGATATATAATAGTATACTTTAGAAGTTTCAATTACCCACGAATAATATTATACAATCATAACAAAATAACTAAAATAGTTATTCTAGGATTATAATATGTAATTTCGTCCAAATTTGAATTTAAAATGAATATAAAAATAAACTGTGCTTATGTATTTTTTAGATTTTTTTTTAACAGAATAAACTACTTATGTGTAATCTTGTTTTAAATTGTCAATCTTTAAATATAAAAGTTGAACATATTATACATTTTTAAATTTATACCCCTGTTAATAAATAATAATAAAATATGTGTGTAGTACAGATGTAACCATAGCAACCATTTGACATAATGTATTGACTGTTTTACATGATTAAAGTTTAAAGGGATGATAACAATACACTCAAGAGCCTCCTGCAGCCAATTAGCAAATGAGATTATTGTAGACTATTTTGATACAGATTTACGATTATGGTGACTAGTGACCAATTCTTTAAATTTTTGAAAACTGTTAGAAAAAAGAGTTTTACAGAGTTAATATTGTGTTTGTTTCTGTTGGTTTTAATACCCGCATACTATTTTGTCGATGTTTTTCACATATTACCGTGTATGTATCGGCTACCATCAGGGTCAATTTGGTATTTAACACACGTGCTGCCTTTAACATTTATGGTTTTCAACTTGCTGACAAATTTTGTAGCTGTGATGTATGCCGATTCATCAGTAATTGGCCGATTGCTTACTGTGTCTGAGTACACATCGAAAGGTATACAATATTATTGTGTAAAAAAAGGTAAATAATAATAAATGACATGTTTTCCAGAAGATATTATGTACTGTACCATATGCCAATGTGATGTTCCTCTAAGGTGTTGGCACTGTGACATATGCAATGTTTGCATATTGACTAGAGATCATCACTGCACTTTCAGCACGACATGTGTTGGTCATTATAACAGACGTTATTTCTTATGGTTTTTGCTGTATTTATCTGCAGCCAGTTTTTACGAGATAATTTTGATTGGTTATTATACATACTGTAAAGTGACAATTAAATTTTCAGACTTAGTGGTTTTAGTGCCATTTCAATCAATTATAACTGGCTTTCACTTAACAGTAGGTCAAATTTTTGTAGTTTTACTGACGTTGAATCTAATAGCTGTAACAATGTCGTCATTGTTATTAATTTATCATCTAGATAAGGTACGCAAAGGTCTCGTATCCCATGAAAAACAAGAGAGTAGTTATGATTTTGGCTTAATGCGAAATTTGGAAACTGTGTTTGGGGAAAAATGGTATATAACATGGATTTCCCCATTCATCATATCCAAATTACCCTACAATGGAATTGATTGGCAAAGTCATGTTGATCAGTATAAAACAAAATAAATCTATTTGTATTGATATGAGTAAGAAATACCTAATAATATAAAAAGTTTAAACCATATGTGATATATAAGTCTAGGCTATAGTACAGTTTTAAGTTTTAGTTTTAATAGATGATCAAATTATGTATACTTGAAATTATGTCTGCACAATTAATAGTTATACAAATGTTAAATATGTATCATAAAAAATGAACAAATATATTTATTGTATGTTTGACCACAAATACCTTGTTTAATTAAATAATTTTGATCATGTTTTCATTTAACTAACTCTTTAGCAATTATTGACTGCAATTCAGGAATTATTTGGCCATTTAAATGCAACCCAACCATTTTAGCTATTAGTTTTTAGTTATTTGTGAACAATTATTATAAAATAATCTACAATGAAGATAATTAAAGGAAAAATGTTAAAAGAAAAGGTACATAAAAAAAAATAAATACAGCTCAACATATGCGTCAACAATAATGATATACTTTACTGTGTACAAAAACTCCTGTTATGGATTAAAATCATTAAAACAATGATGTATAAATATCACTAAGTTTCAATTATGAACTATTTGACCAGAATATATAGATGCGTTATTTGTCTGTACATAAATTAGGTAACATTTTAATAATAATTTTCAAATAAACTAAAAATTAAAAATAAATAATAATAATACATAAAATCTTTGGTATACAAACAAGTTTATGGTTTCCAGATAATGAGTTCATAAAACTATAGTTGGTTAAAAGCAATTTTACATTACGTAATAATCAAACATAATCATTATTACATTTATTTAATTAACTGGTATACTTTTTAAAGTATGAATATAATAAAAAGTAATTAAAACACAATTATTCTTTTAATTTGTATAGTCTAATTTAGGAAACCGTCTGGGCTCTTTACAATTAATTATATTTATTAGTATATATAATTAGCACATATGTTATTAATTACAGATTGTGTTGATGTAACAAAAATTGAATTGTTCTATGAATGTTATTAATCAAAAATGTATGATCCAATAGATGTAATAATAAATTGGTATTTTTATTATTAAGACAAAAATAGTATGTTTATATCAGTATAATATGATGACACACCAAATACTATTTTCCATGATCAAAGTGACTTGAAATAATGTAGGGGGGATAATTTTACTCGTCAAAATTTGAAGTCCTAATTTGTAATAATTTGATGTTAAAAGAACTAACAAAATAGCAGAGTTCTATCATAATCAGACCAAATCCTTCATACTCTGTTTAAAATGCTTTGAGGTATAATAAGGTCACATTTTGTGTAAACAATTGATTACACGTAAATTATTGATGAAAAATTATCATTAATAAATAAAGTTGACTAAAAATTTCAAAATAATTTTAGGGATGACATTTCATCAGTATCTACACTTAGATCACAGACTATTTTTGTAAAATTTTTAAGCACATACTTTACAACTAATATATTAATGTTAAACTCATACTAAAATCATTATTGCCTAAGAGTACATCAATTTGTTATGCATACACAATGTTCAGAATAAAATATTGTGAACCCATTACCTAGTGCAGTGATGTATGCAAGATAAATTTGTCAATTATGTGAACCTAACTATTCATTAACAATCTGATTAACAATACAGTAAATATATAGTACATAAAATGGGTAAATAATAATATAATTAAACCAGAAAATAGAATGGATTTTACACAGTATTAAAATTAAAATAATAAAATGCTTATAAATATTAACAAATAAGTAAGGTTATTGCTTATGGTAAATAAAAAAAATGGTATGTTGTAGAAAAAACTTTAAACATGAGCGTTAACCATAGAATCTATAGAAAGTATTTTTGCCAAACATTAGAAATGTTTTTATTTTTATTGTAGATTAATTCATCAACCATAAAAACATACTAGTTCAACATAAAATATAATAGCAATTATTTTATCAAATCTATGTTTAAAGTTAATTCTCATTAATTTTTAATTTTTTTTTTTAATACTTATTGTTCAATATTACATAATATTATCTGCTATTTTATTATTTTTAATACTTTAAATTATATAAAGTTTATATAACAAACCTTCCAAATACTAAATTTATGGAATCTTGATTATTTTCATTGTAATACTTAATATTTTAGTTATTAAGATTTATAAGTTGAGAATATAAAAAAAATTAAACTAATAGAAATAAATATTAACGAAAATACTCTCATTGGTAAGTAAATTAATGAATTAAATGATTGTGAAATAAGTTTCAACAATATATTATAGTTATAAGTTTTGGAATGTTAAATAAACCGTGTCACAAAATAATATATTCAGAATACTATGTTTTATAAATCGTCCTGTCATCAAATAATGAATATTTGGTCATGATTGACCAGTACAAAATCAGTGAAAGCATTAATTGGGCCAATCGCAGCTAAAGATAACTGACTATTTGGACTGCGTACTAAATTTGGACCAAACACTACTGCTAAATTAGATGAAGTCATTTTATTCAGGTCACATCTATCCATTACCTAAAACAAAAGACAAATATACTCAATGAATTATTTGAAATTTCCAATTATATAAATTATAGAGTAAAAACATGTTCATTTTTTTGAAGTTTTGTGGTTTTTTATGTTTTATGTTAAATATTCAAATAATATACTTGTTTCAGACCAGTTTTGACTCACTGATTTAAATAAATGTTTTAGGATATATTTCATACATAAAACTTTATATCAACCGATTATAATTAACTCAATAAAGTTTATAATATTGTAAGTGTAGAGTAAAGCAAATATATTATATATAGTAAATGAACACTTACTTTTGATAAAAACTGAATAAGGTATTTGAGTAAATGGTAATTATCAAGAGGTAGTTTTTCCAATATCAGAATTTTCACTTGCCTAGGACGTTCGTCTTTTGGAAGAGCTAAAATTAAAAAGTATAATATTTAAATGTATTTTATTTATGAAAATTCATCATAGAATAAAAATAACTAGGTATACAAAATTTCATAAATTTAATAATAATAAGATCTCACTTTGAAATTGTGTAATCTCATCAAACAAATCAAATGTCATCAAAGGTTCTTCAAGTTCTCGTAAAAAAGTTTTCAACAAAACAGCTGCAAGATGTACATCATTACCAAAGTCTACAGGTTCACCTAGATTGATACGACTCTGTAAATCTCTTAAATGATTAATGTTTGCAGATCTTCTAAATAATCCTTCAGTTTCTAAGGCTGCGTAATTAAGAAAAATAGTATTAATATCAAAAATCAATATTTATTAATTTGTATTGAAATTACCATCTGGTAGACTAAGGTACTCAACACACTTTTGTACCAATGGAGGAATTATTTCTCCATCATTGTTTGCTTTTATGAACTGCAATGAAACACCAAATTGTTGAGTTGGTAATGGTTCGGATTTTGGTTCAGTTTCCTGTTCAACTAATGAAACTTTTCTTTTATTTAATTTTTTCATTAACTGTTCATCATGACTGAAAAATAAAAGTTTTAAGGTATAACAATAGTTTTATTGTTTAAAATAATTACTCTAAAACCGGTGCTGGAATAATCAATTGATCCAAATCCATGAACAGTTTCAACTCTTGCAAATGGTTAACATACATAATTTTTCGGCCAAATTTTGCACTGAAAGTTATATAGATATCTATTATTTTCAGTTTAATAGATAAAATTTACTTCATTAAAATTCACCTGATCACAGCTCTAAAAAGTTGCCAAACCACTTTGATAAAACCAGTTGGGTGTACTAAATACAGGGCTTTTAAGTTTTTTTTGTATTTTCTATCAAATGCTCGGTATGCTTGCCATAGCCATGATAATGTTGGCTTATTTTTACTCGTCAATCCATAATGGAAGTAGACCAAGCTGTAGTCTTGTTCTACAAATTTGTCCAAAGTGTACATAAGATACCTATTATTAATAGATAAAAATAAGTTAAGGGTTATAAACAATATTATAATTTAATAAATAAATGTAACATGTTAAATTAATATTGAAAGTGTGTTTAATAGCACATCAATTATTAACAGCTTCTATTATATGTCTATTTAAATAAAAATATTATACCTTAAAAGTCTTGGATGATCAACTTCTTTATTACTTGGTAATTTGCAAGCTGAAACAACAATGATTTTACGGCCAACTGCATCATCACCAACTACATCAACAACACCACATTCAGCAACATCACTGAAGTCTTCATCTTCTTTAGACTAAAAAAAAAACAAATTTAGTAAACAAATATTATTTAAATATAACCTATTTCTAACCAACAGAGAAGGTCAAGATTAACTTAAAATAAAAGTTTAATATATAATTATAATTAATATTAGACTTACATCATCTGCTTCCAAATCATCTAACAAATTTCCAGTTGCTGTATCATTTACAGATGTTAAGCCTTCAACTTGAGGAGCATTTACTAATTCTTCTTCAAAATTTTCTTCAATAGTACCGTCAGAAACAGGAGATTCCATGTAATCTAATGTTCCTACGGTCCCATTTACATTAGCTAAACTTTTTTCCAAGTCTGAAAAAAAAAATATTAATACAATTTATAACAAAACACGGTTTGAGTCATTACAAATCAGTAATGCACTTATAAAATAAATGCAATTTACCAATATCTGCAGTTGGACTTTGAAGTTCAGTATCATCAAATTCTAAGTTTGGCTCATAGTCATGGTAATCAGAAAGACTAGGATATGGTTCTTCATTATCAGCTATTGCAACTAAATTATTAACAAATATAGAATTTAAAAAATCTTAAATTGACTAAATACATTTTAATGAATTTTGTTTTATTTTTAAAGGCTTGAATACATAAAAGTCAATAGTAGGTATATGTCACCAGCATTTGTATTTTGTTTTATGTTCTACATAATATGAGAAACAAGGAAAATATACATAGGTACCTGGTACTGCGTAGTTATAGAATTTAAAGTCAATTTATATATTAATACATTTATTGGATAGTTTATTTGCTGAACATAGATTTTTTTTTAAATAATAGTTATATATTTTATTTTATATGATAAAATTATGTGTATTATAACTTAAGCACATTAACTAATTATGATTTATAACACATATTATATATATTATGTAATAGGTAAATTAAAAAAGAACCTAATATAAGCATATAACACTCAATAATGTGATTAAGAAAGTCACCCATTTATAACACAATATCGGAATATTGTTTCAGGTAAATTTACAATTAATAGATAGTCATGATTCCAGTTGTATTTAATAATAAGGCAGTGAAAAGGTTTGTCAAATATATAACCTTGTACATAAGTTGAAGCCATATTTTTAATGAGGTAATACATACTTGATTCCTTAAAATATTTTAAAATAAATAATTAATTATCTAAAAAAGCTTCATCCTGAAATCTATTTACCCATTATTTATATTATCTATACATATAAAAGACAATAATTTATAAATTAACAAACTATAAGAATGATATGCTACTAATGTAGTCTATAAATGTACTGTTACACATGTATAGAACAAAGAGTTATAGGTGAGTGAACTGTCCAATTAATGTGCACAGCATAATTAAACATCAACTTTTTATAATAACACTACATATAATAATAGTTTTGTTTAGTTGTGTTCCGTTGAAAAAAATTGTACATTAAACTGTAATAAATAATATAGAAAAATTGTATCAATATAAATGTAGAAAAAGTTAAAATATTAGGTACCTACCTATGTAATTTGATTTAACATTTTTCTAACTGATAGCTTTAAGGTATAAATGAGAGTGCACGCTGTAAAATACTTTGAGCATATAATTATACCGATAAATTGAGTACATCTATATTTTTTTATACTAATAAGTATAAATAGGTATAATGTAACTAATAGGTAGTTTTACAGTCTACAGACCAATTATATTTGTGTTTTAAACCAAATACAAATTAATATGTTCATATAATGTGGGTTTGTAAGTCAAACAACCATTTACATTTATAATAGGTACTTAGGTACAGGGAATAAATCTTAATATTAATACATCTACCTATATATCGTTTATTGTTTAATAACATGATACCTACTGTTATTTTATAATTTAATGTATGAATCAAATTTATTACATTACAAAATTATTGACACCTAAATATACCTACCTATATTTTTGGTTAATAACACAAACAATAAACTAATTTTATAACAGGTAATTAGTAAAAATGAAGTATTTCACTGTTGATAAAAATGAACTAGGTATACACTATACAGAATGTATCTTAATTAACATCATAAATAATATGGGGCGATATAAGATCTCAGCACCTATGACTCATCCCCTAAACTATGGTGGCCATATTTTGGTCTCTACCATGAATTAAGTGTAAATAGTGTATTCCACCATACAGCATACATCTACGAACACTTACCCGGGAAATACTTGCTGGAAGGCTGCACTCTGGGATCCATGTCGGTGACCGGTAATGATGGAGTGACAGATGTACGAAACGACGAAATCACGCGGGCAACACTAGCAATGGTTACCTCATTTCATCAATGTTCTCGAAAGCTGCGGGCGGAACGACTACGAAACACGTCATGCACACACGATTCAATGACGATCTAGCATCGACAACATGGATTGTCCGATTTCTTAGCGCAGTCGCTACTGCTAGGTATATTGTGTTAAACAGTGGTCACCGTATCAACAATCGACATACGGCTAGTCGTTTTGTTCAGGTGTAGACTTCATTGGACCAGCAAGACGCGTTTGATACGGTGGATAGGTGTAGGCGGCGAGGACAATCTATGACAGCTATCGGACATCGGCCCCTGTATTCGTGTCGCGGAGAAAAATAAATAGAACGGATGTGAACATTAAACAACAACAGTAATCATTTTCGTAAATACACTATATTACAGGACATCCCGAGTGCACACAGTATACTGCAGAGGCTATAAAGATAAGTAAAGAGTGCAGAACTGCAGACTAGCGACTACAGAGTACAGAGTACAGACTACATCAGACGGACGGACCGATTGCGATATACACCGATATAACAATAATAATAATATGTAATATAATTATATAAACACTGAACACCTGTTTTCCGCCATGGCAGTGTCCGTGGCTGATAACAGCTACCCCCCTCCTAGGTGTTCCTTGAAGGCCTCGAAAACCTTGATAACGGACTACCGACGTTATTGATAACGGAGAGGAAAGGCGACACGTCATATTATAGTATTATACGTATATATCAGGAATTTTGTATTCACGCAATCTGGCAAGTGGCAATAGGCATCAGCAGTCAGCTAACCACTAGTGGCGACTGTCTAGTGCCTAAAGTCTCACTTTATTGTATTCTTTTGTGAAGACTTAAGATTATCCCCCGTTAAGTATTATATCATTATTGGTGGTTGTTATGCCGGAAATGTATAGGGTAAAAAACGGAAATAGACAATAGGAAGAAGCATCCACGAGTTCGTATCGTTCACCTACGACTGGCCTAGGTACTCGAGTTTTACAGCTTTGACTTAAGTATTATGTTATCTAATACACTAGGTAGTTGCGTTATACAAGTGTAAATAAAATTATTATACTGAAACTGCAGTATGCTATCATTTTAATTTCTGTTTTCGTCTCCAACTGTTTAAATATCTTGTTCAATATTTTGTAATACATTTATTTCTTTTAACTATGAGTATGAAACATTTAACAAACAAAACCCCAAGAATTCTTCAAGAGCTTATGACCCAACAGGATAATTCGGTAAGAACTACAATTATTAACTATTAATATAAATGTATTAATTACAATTTGTTGTAGAAATGTTTTGAGTGCGGTTCTCATAATCCACAATGGGCTTCTGTCTCATATGGTATATGGATTTGTTTAATGTGTTCAGGAAAACACAGAGGGCTTGGGGTTCATCTGTCATTTGTCAGATCCATCACCATGGATTCTTGGAAGGATTTAGAGTTGGAAAAAATGAGAGTATGTTTTTTTTTATCTATGTTTGAATAAGATAATTATAATATGTCAGTAGTAAATGTACCTTTATCCAGTACTCGAATTGGAAGGATGCGCAGGGGGACAGAGCTCCCCTACTATTTTTTTTTACGTACCCCTGCTATTATTTTTATGGTCTGTGATGAATGATTGCGCCCTTGGAACACAATTTTTAAATACTTAGATTATGCTCCTCTATTTAATTTTTCCCAAATCGAGCACAGTCTTTAACTAAATTAAGACAGAACTACAGAAGTACTAAAAAATGTTACTTTTGTTATTTAGGTTGGGGGAAATAGAAATGCTAAAGCATTTTTCAAATCTCAACCAGACTGGAGTGATTCAATGACTATTGAACAAAAATATAATACTAAAGCTGCAGCACTATATCGAGATAAGGTTAATAGCATTCATTAGGTATTTGATTTATTGTATGTTTAATCATTAATTAGTATCGCTTGTCTGTCTAGATATTAAATTTAGCTAAAGGGGAACAATGGAGCCCTACTACGTCATCAGCTAAAGATTATAATGTAGATCATATGAAAATGTAATTGCAATTTGGTGAACTATAGTTTATAATAATACATAAATAATATTCATTATATTCTTTATTTGTTAGGACGGGTGGTAACCAATCACAAAAGTATAATTTTAATGAATCATCAACTAATTATAATGAATTGAGTTCTGGCTATCAAAATGATGTTGGCAGTCCAAATATCAAAGATGAGAAAGAAGCTTTTTTTGCTAGAAAACAATATGAAAACATGACAAAACCTAGGTAAGTGACTGTATAACTTAATCCTTACTATAAATGTTTTAGAACAATAAGTGATAAGTATAAAAAAAAAATATTTTTTTTTTGATATAATATTAAATGTTTTTGTGATCTCACAGCAATGTCCCTCCAAACCAAGGTGGGCGTTATTCTGGATTTGGTAATACAGTTGAACAACCTCCGAGAAGTCAATCTCAAGATCTTCTCGACTCTGCAGTGTCATCATTTTCTAGTGTAAGTTATATACACAAAAATTAAATACACAATATTAAAATTTCTTATTTTCCATAGAAACTTTTTACAAAGAATTATGTTTTAATTGTAATTTTACAGTAAAAATTATCTAGAGTTTAAGTTTATTAACTAATTTTATAATCAAAAAATTATACATACGTGACTCAAATAACTAATCAATCTGCCAAACATCATTTCTATATATTAAAATCCACTATACTCTGTTCGGCAAAAGAGAACATACCGCGGCCCAACAAAAATCGGTTTAATCCTCGCATCCGCTAGCGTCACCTACCCATAGCATTGACGGACACCGTAATCGGGTGTCAGCACCAAAACGTGACCGGTGTCGCGACGACCAGGCATCATGGAGGTGGAATTGGAGCCTTGGCGATCGAGCAGCCGTCAGTCTGCATGTGCAGAATCGGCGTGTTCTCTTGTTAAACACAGTATAGGTGTACAACAATTACTTATATACCACAGTACCATTATCTTCAAAAAATAATAGTGATAACCGATAGGACAGTTCCAGTATTATACCGTTAAAAATGTTGGTGACTATATCTTCCACTTTTGGTATGGGATTCCTTATCAATTTGTTTTAACTTTTAAGTTAATAATGTGGTAGAAATGTCTCAATGTGATAGTTTTTATTTAATTTCTAACAATAAATAATAATCAAAAAAATAATTATTGCAGGGATGGTCTTTATTTTCCTCATCTGCATCAAAACTAGCCTCTCAAGCCACACAAAGTGCCATTAAAATAGGTGGACTAGCAACTCAAAAGGTAACAGATATAACCACCGACATAAGCTCAAAGGTAAGTAGCATGCAATTATTTTTAGCATACATTTAAAAAAAATTAATTTTCATGTTATGGTAGTATTTTAAGACACAAAAATATTTTTATCATAGAGTATTTCACATGGGCGCCTGTGGAGAAGGCATGACGGGACATTCCCCCCCTGGAATTCAAATATAATGTTGAACATTTTAACTAAACTTTTTTAATGTACTTTTTGGTGTTTGATTTCATGATACAAATTCGCTAGACTAAACCGGTGTGAAAAATAATGCACCGGGATGTTTGAACCATAATATCATTTACATGGTTCATTATCCTGGTGCTGGATAATGTGGGATCATTTTAAACCTGTTTAGTCTAGCAAATATCTACATTATGCCCATCCCTGGTAAATTTCCTGTGGGCGCCCATAGTATGGCATTAGTAAATATTGTGTTTTAACTTTTGAATATTATTTGAATATTTAATTTAATTTTTTTTAGTTAAAATTGTATTTTTACTTTTTTTCTGATTAGTATTGTGTTATGTTTGAGAACTGAAATATCTTAAACAATAGTTTTATATTTATGAATTTTTTTTGTGTTATTATTATTATATTATTTAAACAATTATTAGTTATAGTGTATATACAATTTTATGATTTATGTTATGCTTGTTTGTATCTGTATTGTTAGATAAAAGAAGGTACATTAATTGACGACGTATCTACTCAATTTTCTTCTATGTCAACAAAGGTAAAGTATTATTTGTATTAAGATTTCAATTTAGTGTCTGATTAATTATAAATCTTGTATTTCCTTATTGTTATAATGTAATTGTTAATTTAGGTAAACGATTTAGGCCGTAAAGAATGGCAAAATATTACTGGCAGTAATATTCCTACACCGCCAAAATCACATTCAACTAATTTTGTAGCACATTCCACTGAGAACTCTTCTTTAATTTCTGATGGTTCATCTGGAAATCAAAAGTATGAATATTAATTATTCTATTTATTTACTTAAATTAATAATCTGTTTAATGTATACAGCAGATTCTTCTTATGTCGAATGTCGCTATCTCAAACTAAATAGAAATCCCCTTGAAACTACCATTACACTAAAATACAATTTATTTAAAACTCAAACATTTTTCTGTCCCCTCGAGATTTGACATGAAAAGAGTTTACTTTATTTAAGAGGACGCCTCACGTGTTATGTCCATCTTACAAAAATACAACTTGTCAAATTTATTTGTTTTTAGCTAATATTGGTGTAAATTAACTTATATCAAATTTATATGCAAGAACATTATCTGTGTCTATACATTGGTATTTTGCATTATTTAAATTTTCAAACAAATTATGAGTGTATAAGATATTATAGTATAAAATGGACATAATTTACTTAAAAATGTAATAATTATAACAACCTAACTTACAAACCCAGATAATGATCTTAACATAAAATGACAGAGTCAGTATGGTATTCGTTTAGTATGTGATCTACGGACCAATAATTAATTTTAAAACAGTCAAATTAAAAATCATAAAATTATGTTAATAATTATTTAATTAATACATTAGTAATACAAATATAAAATCATACAAGATTATATTTAACAATGTCGAAAAGTCAAACAAATTATCAGTTTAAAAAATTTATGGATACACAGCAATAACAACAATATGTTAAGATTATTCAAAAAATGTCATAAAAATATTGTATTTTATTTTAAAAATATTTTTAACAATATTCCTTTGTGTATATTATTTAAATTTAAAAAATGACTCTTACCTATTATCAGATCGGTACCACCCATACGTTGCCCGTACATAATATAGATAATCGTCTTGGTAGGTCACATACTAAACGAATACCAATAACTATAATATAACTTAATAAATCTTGAAATGCCCTAAAAATATAATAAATAGCACAAACAAACACGTGTAATAACCCTACAATTTCAAACCCTACTACCTACAATCAAGCTAATGGCCATAGTCGCCGGGCTTTAAAAAGATCAATTAAAAAAAAAAATAAAAATAATAAATAGCAAAAAATAAAAATCTAGATTATTGGATAATTTTTTAAAAAGTTTCTTCCTTATTTTCATTCAACAAGACGTGTTGTCAATGAGTTATAATTACTTTTAAGTTTGCAAATCTATAAATATCTAATACCTATATGCAAAATATGTATTTATTTTGTAACAGAAACGTGCAGCGTAAAAATAGCTGGACATCTTGGGATGTTAATAATACTCATGCATCGTCCTCTGATCAAACAACTGAAAAATATCAACCAATTCAAGATGATTGGAATAACAAATGGGATAATAACTGGTAGATCTGCATCAAAATTCTAATTAAGTTTTTATATTTAAACAATTTAAAGATATAAATATTTATAAATGTTATTTTTAATTCTAAACAAACAATTACATTGTCTTCATTTTTTTTTTTAAACTAAATGTCATCTAGCAAATTATATAATATGTATGATTTATATTACTTTATTTGTGCTGGTTGTACAACATTTTAATAAATTCATTGAAACCATATATATATAGGTCACATGTTCATGTTTAAGAGACTGTTAAATGTTTGAGGATCCATAAATTAAAATAAATTTTAATGCAACCCATTATTAATGTATAAAATTCAATGTTATGAATTTTATTAATATGTTATTATTGTAGTAAAAAAATTAAAATTTAATAAATTTAATATTACATATTAATGTTATGCTATCATAAATAAACTATTTCTTCATTTTTAATTGCATCGTATTTTAATTTTACTGATTTGGTTTATCATTATTAGTAAATGTGATATGAATTTTTGTTTAGTAAAGTATGTAATTTTTCTAGGTTTAACACATTTAACAAAGCTATGTTTATATTATAATCGAAAAATATATTGATTTGGATGAGAAGACCATATATGAAGCTAGTCTGACAATATTTTTCATAGAAATTAATCTTAAAAATGTTTGAAAAAAATACTTGGAATGCGATCTGAGGTAAAAACAAAATGATCAACGATTGACAATGCTTAGACAAATTATTATGTCGTACCCACAGATACAGCATACATATCCAATATCTATGATCAAAACATACAAAATTATGATTGTATGAAATTATATTGTATACGGTAGTATTCAAGTATATTATGTTTTGTATGAGCCAGAGAGAGAAAATAAATGTTGCTCAGACAGTCAGACCTAATCATAATATTAAGACGATTAATTTATGAATTACAATTATTAATTTCTCAAATTGTGTGGAATTATAATATAATATAAAATTTCTTGTCTTTTGTTCGGTGTTCCCTAATCCCTAATAATATTTTAACATTTTGTGCTATTTGTACCATAGGGGCCATGTACCAAATTTACCTATTGTTTTAGTTAACATATTGTAAATTTGTAAATATCTTTGTAAATAAAAAAATAAATACTATTTGTGAGTGGCGTTAGACCGTTTTCTGCTCTTCATCTTAAATTAAAAAGTGATTACATTTATAAGAACCTGTTGGCATAGGTACCTTTATATTTAATAATAATGATTTTATAATGATATCGTTTGTCACTTTGAATAAAAGTTAAAACATTTAATATTCGGTCAAAATACAAGCAAAAATTAACAAGTTTAGTATAGACTATACCTAGGTAATATGTAGGTATATCAAGTTTTGATAGCCTTACAATAAAATATAAATATAGACATAATAATTATATCAATGATAATATACTATGTATTATGATTTACAGAAACCACCACCAACGAGTCGAAGACCGAAGTGACTCTGAGTGTGAAATATGTGGTGACTGGTGAATAGATGTGTTGGCTACCCTGTTTTTTTGAAAAGGGCTTGACCATTCAGTCATGGGCCAAAAGCCGTTCTCTTACAAATGATAAGGGGAAAAAAAAAATAATAATCTCATACCAACATTACCAACCGATAAAAATGTCAATGTTCAAAATAATAATTTAATATCAGTTTTAGGGCCAGCCTGTAGTAAATGTACTTTTTTATTAATGTATTAACTTAGATCATATACTAGAATACTGTTACTCGTGTATTAATGTATCAATTGTATCATCTTTATTATCTATGGTATTAATGTACTTTTCTCTAACACCTGTTGATTAATCTAATGAGTAATTAGGATTAATTAATTAAAATTAAAATTCAACCGCCAAATTACAAAAAAATGGCGAAACAGAAATCCAATACTTATATCTATAATAATGACTAACGACCACGATTAAAGTTATCTTTAATCGTGCTAATAACTAATGAGATATTATTATAATTATTTGGGACTTGGGTTTATTTTTGAACTTATAAATAAACTATAGAGTATTTTTAAACGCATAAACAAGATTATTCCAATACAACAATAATAACTGAACATTGCATGAATGATGAATGTTTTGTGGCATTTCATACCAATTATGACACTAATTAACAGTTATAACATTTAAATAATATTATGTCTTGCATTAAATAATATCTTTATAGAAAAATTATACAATATTGCAATTATTGCATTATTGTTACTTACTGCTTAGTAGTTAGTACTTTGTAATATTTTTATATGATCGAAACTTTAACAATAATAGAATTTATGATAATGTTGGTAATGTCTTTATGGTACATAATGGTACAGGGAATTTATGTTTTAGTATTGGTAAACATGATCCGATAAATTTTTTCTTTTTTTTTCCGAGTTCTTATCAGCTGTAAGAGAACGGCTACACACTCTTCAGTCATGGTTATAGTCATGACAAATTAAATAGGTATGTCAGCAACTTTGTGATACGCATGTCTGTGACGTAAGCATTTCTCCGACTGTTATCAAACGTTATTATTTTATAAAAACAATCATATTATCATTATCCGGAACATTTCTACTGTGCGCCGTGCGGAACATTTTTTTTTTGCAATTTTTTTTTAAACTTTTGTAATTAAGGACGCTGAAAACGATGGTGAAGTCAGAATTTGGCGGTCGGACATAATTTCGAAATTATGACCCTTCAGATTTCAAATAGTGCAGACCTGCAGTGATTACACAGTTTGCAGCACACGCCACAGAGTGCCGTGCCTCCGCTCCGAAAATTTAATATATCCCTCGACTTGTTATGAAACACCACCTCAAGCAGATCACAGGGTAATTACTAATTTATTGTTGCATCAGTTATCATAAAAACAATTTAAAAAAAAGTTAGGATAGACCGCCCGAATCTGTGAATTTCTTAAGTTAACATGTTATATAGGTGCCTACTAACTTTGAAGTGTCATAACTTCAAAACTTTTCCGAGCTCCAAATTCTGACTTCATCATCGTTTTCACCGTATTTAACTACATTAGTTTAAAAAAAAACAAATTAAAAAAAAAAATGTGTCCCATAAATAAGAAATATACTACTAATTAACTAATTGAACGTAATAAATTGAACGTACGGTTATTACCTATGTCATTATCACAGAATATTTTGATATTTTTTTTCATTATTTAATTTGCTATGCGTGTACCTAGCAAGTCCTTTTATTTTTTCCAATTAACTAAATAAGTTTCATTTCTGGAATAAATTTTAGTTTTTTATCTAGAAAAAACATAGTATTACAGAAAACATCAGACAACAAAGGAAGATAATGTATAATGTACCTAGTTAACTGTGAGTTAATATTTATTATTCATAATTGCCTAACTTTTAATTTGTATGTTTTTTATAGGATATTTCCAGAATAGTTTTGTTTATGCTATTCAAAATGATTCTCACTAAGCAGTGTTTCACATGGTATGGTAATATTTAAAGTTAGTATTTTTTCTGTGTTTGAATTTTAACGGCAATGAGTTTAGCTTAGGTATTAAACAGTTAATTAGTCAAATTTTAGGAGAAGTACTGGCACCATAGTTCCTAGTCCAGTCCTCGATACCATGATAAAAAAAAAAAAAGTTAATTAGTCAAAATTGTATACATTTTTATTTTGGTTTGAAATCAAAACTCTAGTAATAAATGATTTATATTAGTATTATTAACAAAATTAAAATAAATATAGTATTAAATTATAATTAAAACAAATCAATTAAAATTTATTTATATTATTTTATAATAAAAGAGCTGAATATAATTATTTAATATAATTAAATTTTTTTTACAAATGTCACCCCGTCTAACAAATCAAGATACATTTACAATAATAATCATAATGATACACTAGTCAAACGATCGCCTGTACATATTTTTAATTGCTAATTTAATAGTGTATAACTTTACTTCTTTCCAGTTGTAATCATTAATATATTTGTTGTTTCCGCAGAATAATATGGCTTTGGCGACTGTATTTGAAAATACATTTGCAGCTAACCGTACATTCATTCGAGCTGTACCCTCTACAGAAATGTGACGGTCAGAAATCTTATGTGATAGCTTGAAATCATTTCCTCCGTTCAACTTGATTAATTGTTGCAATATATTCTTCCCGATGTATTTACCATTAGGTAATATGAATCCTCTAGATGAGTACAAAGCTGATATTATAAATTTTAATATAACTGATAATTAACTTTTTGTTTGATTTCAGGTATTAATTGACAACTTACTGATCGAGAAAATGGTTTCTTGCAAGTTTTAACATATGCGGCACATCAGCAAACACATGTACATTTCTATTAGTCATCGGGTGTTTAAATGACGTATTTGTTATAGAAATACCCATATCTCTCCACAATCCAACATTTGACGAACCCATATCACTCACAATAGCGATCACATTAAAACCATTTTCATGTAGTGCTTGTATTATGTTATTAAGTAATTCTTTTGTCATAGAAGTATCGTAGTTATAAAATATTGGTTGTTTCCAATTGCTCAATAACCCTATAGGTTAATTAATTTTATTCAAGTACATTTAATATAAATTAAAAATTATTAATTAATTTTCTTACCTCTAGCTACAACGGTTTGAACGCATCTGTGTGGACCATATACTTTTTCAAATTTTTTGTCATAACAAATTCTGTGTGAAATATATGTCTCGTCAAAAGAAATTACTGTTAATTTTTCCTCCTCAGTTAATAAATCACCTTATATATGGAAAATAAAAATCAAAGTTGATATTATTTAAATGTCTAAAATCTTTAGATCTTCTTTACACAATTATACCTTTGGCTTTCATCAGTTTTAATACATTAGTTAAAATACCAGGTTGAATTGTGAATGTAGAAGCCCATGTCCACAAAGTAGACATACCTAAATTTAAAGATTATAAAAAATAAAAAAATAATTTCATTGTTAGTTGCCCTACCTGGTAGAGGAAAACATTTCTTGTTCCTCAAATATCTGTATGCTTTTGGAGTGATGATCTTAATGTTATAGCTGATGAAATATCATCAGAAGTCCATTTATATGCTTTCAGTTTAGGATGTAACAGTATATCAATTTGAGTTGGCGTAAAAAGTTTTGACAATAAAGAATGGAAACGTAATTCAAAATTATTTTCTATTCCACTAACAATATTTTTTAGAGCTTCATTCTCTTTACGTAATGTTAAAATATTATTTTGTAATTTATTTTTGTCCTCTTTAAGTTCATTATTTTTATTTTTATAGAAATCTACAGTTTCCATTAGTCTACATAAAAATAAACATAATTATCACATTAAAGAATTAACAAAATATGTATTATTAATTTAATTAGTTTCCAAATTACTTCTTAATCAGACCATTATTTGAAGGATTGTCGTTATCATCACTTTATCAACTAATGGTTGAACCCCTAGTTCAATGTTGACAAAATCCAACTTTTTTGAAATATTTTGATGTTGAATATTAGATTCTCTATAATGTATTCATAGCATTATTATACAAATATTTTAGAATTCTACTTAAATTGATATTTAAATGTGTCTAAAAATTATTAAAATAAAAAAAATATTCATAGGAAACTTACACATCAAATACTCCAGCAGGCGTATTTATTTTCTGTGGTTCAACTATGTTTAGTGGTGTAGAAGGGTTCACTGGTCTTATAAAAGGAATATCATAATAGTCGGTGCCAAAAATACTATTAAAAAAAAATGTTGGTATTAAATGGAACTAAAAAAAAAGAAAATTAAACCTGGATACTATGATATTATTCACCTCAGAGGAATTGCATCATCGTTAAGTTTTTGCATACGTTTAGGTGAATAATTTAATAGTTTCTGTATCAATGGCTTATTGATATGGTAAGGAGCAAAATGCAATGAGCAAACAACAGCTGGATGGAATTTAATAAGTAAATGTAAGTGAAAAATAACAATACAATATGTGTGAATAATTGTAATATCTATGTTCTATGATCTCACCACTTTTAATATTTATGGATTTTGCATTAATTGATTGGCCATATTCAATTTGTTGCAACCACATAAGACATACATTTATATCTTTTGGGAACCTATGCAGATGGACTTCATGGTTCATCTGATTTTTTCCTTTCTTCCTAGTACCACTATCACAATTTTCAAAAACACACTTAGGCATTGTTATTAACTTTCAAATACTTATAGATACAGAGTATTTACTAATTAATTTACACAAATTTATGTAACTTAGTTTTTAAGAGAATATAACACATACACAGTTAAATAACATTCTTAAAAATTGTAATATTTAATGAAAGTATGACAAAATAGCACAAGTATAATTCCATCATGCCCTATTGATCTATTATACAACATTGTAATTGATTGGCATTTAATTATATATGATCTTATCAGTGTTTATTTAATTACTTAAATAGTTGAATGTAAATATTATAATGTCAAAAGGGCATGATGGAATCTCCCCTAAAATAGTATTTAAATTATCTCTGTTTATTAAGTTACTTAAATATATAACCTAACCTTTAGAATCAAATTCGTTCCAGGTGGTACTTTTGGTAGATCAAAATTGAAAATTCTCAGTAGGTACATACATTTTTATTATAGCTAAAATATATTTTTTTAAATAATAAAAATACGGTCCGTTAGCCCCCATGAGTATGCCACTGCTGTACCTATACGTATAACGTGGGCAGTAGGCACATATTTATTTGTTTTTAAATCAGTTTTATTCTGTGTAGCCTCTTGCGCTTAGTGCTTACCCGGTAAATTGTTTTATAAATTTAAAATATGAAATACACACACTGACATAGATACCATGTCTCAGTATTCTGTAAAGAACTTAATAAAAATAATAAATACGTAATATAATCAAGCAACAAAATTTTAAAAGTTCGTTACATCATGAGAACTTTGGCTAAAAAAACTTTGTTACATCGAGGGTACCAAAATCCATTTAATTATTCGATATACCGCAAGATTTTCAAGGGAATGACAGTTTCATTCGTTAGCCCGAAAGCACAAACTAGATTCACTTTCCTATCAGAAAAAATTATTCTAAAATAGTAAATGGAAGCATTTTTAATGCCCTAAAACGTGATGAATAACAAACATTAATAAAAAATAACACAATTGTTTAATCAATACATTCATTGCTCCGCTCAGAATCTAAAATATAGTCACATTAATATTTTATAATGAGCGTTTAAAATTTAAATTGTTGATTACATAGTAAAATCGAACTGCGGTAAAAAAGTACGGTAGGTATAATTAATAATTAGGGTCTGATTGGTCTGAACATTTATATGCATTTGCATTTTTTTTTAATAGTCCAAAAAGTAGCTACAAGTTTGAATTATAGCCAATACGGAACACGGAGTTTTATTTTGCATATTTTTGGATATTTTGTAATTTTTTGAATATTTCTGTGTTTTACGAATACTTTTTAACCGTGGACATTGGTAAACGGAAAAAAAGTCCCCGGTAAAAAAGTCTCCAAATTAATATTTTATTTAAATTCAGTCTTTTATCATATAGGTATTTATATAGGTACAAAGCCCATAGGTAATACATGTTACATATTTTTATTGAAAATAATTCTAGGATTAAAAATTATCGTAGATAAGTATTTATATACATAATTAGGTACATTTTAAATTTTAAATTTATTGAAAATAATATAATTATATAATATCTTAAACATATAAAATAATATTATTTAAAAAATATAAAAATATATTTGTTCAGACATGCACCCCTCGTAAAATAATAAAAAATTGAATAAAATATGTACGTTAAAATTGTATTTACTATTATATAATTTTCAGATCTTTTATACTTGAATAGTTACATTTTTATTTTTTTTAAATAATATTGTTCTATGTTTCTGATATTATATTATTTTCAATAAATTTAAAATGTACCTAGTTATGTATATAAATACTTATCTACGATAATTTTTAATCCTAGAATTATTTTCAATAAAAATATGTAACATGTATTACCTATGGGCTATGTACCTATATAAATACCTATATTATAAAAGACTGAATTTAAATAAAATATTAATTTGGAGACTTTTTTTCCGTGAGACTTTCTTACCGGGGACTTTTTTACCGGGGACTTTTTTTCCTAATATCCCCCTATGATCTGTAATGTTTTTACAACTAGGATAAATAACAATTTTAAACTTTTGATAATACTTTTGATTATATATTATAGTAGGTAACATACAATACAAAACATGTTATATAATATATTAAAAAAAAAAACAAAATATTATATTAATAAAAAAAAACTTGACACTTTAGGCTAGTAGGAATGTTGTCACACCTATAAGCTGTAGAAAAAAAAATTATTGAATTAATATGTTATATAATATTTTCAACTCTGAAAAAAAATACTACTACAGCATAAAAATACATGTAGCTAGTAAACCTTAATACAAATTAAAGCACAAACCATTAGGTATATAATAATAATATTTTTTTTTTTAATAAACAATTAACAATAAAATGCATATAATATCTAACTTTAAAATAAAAAATGTATTTATTATAATCAAAAAGTAAAAATATAGATGAGAGAGGTGGGCCTGTATTCTGTAAAGCAAATGCGGCGCGGCGAGGCGATGGCTGAGCGGTGAAGTGGGAGTGGAGTCGTCGGCGGCGGCGGAGGCCGACCAATGAAAAACGGAGAAATGCTTACGTCACAGTACATGGCTGGGCGGAGGGTGGATGCGCGACCCGTCTAAAAACGGGTATTTTGCTGACATACCTATTTAATTTGTCATGGTTATAGTCAGTCGCAGAGTACCGGTTGTGGGCTCTGTTCGTAATGTTCGTATGTTTGTTGTTATTTGTTTATGCATTTTAATAAAACTGCTTTAGTAAGTACAATTCGTTTGTCTTCGTTTAAAACCTATTAGTAACATTTTCAGAAGTGGGATCATAAATCCATAGTTCGCGAGTGTAGTTGCCGTTTTGATTTTGTTTTAACACAGAAGACGGTTGGTGCTTATTACATTCATTAGTCGCTACTGGTGTTGCGAAACCACGAGGTTTAGTGGTAATAGTGTGCGGAGGAAGTAACGGTGGCGCATAAGTTGACGTTACGGTGTGTCAATCGATGACTGCATCGCTAGTAGAGCTGATAAGCTGGTTATGTTTACATGTGATAAGCCGTTGTTATCACAAAGATTTTCTTGTCAGTCTTGAGCGAATCGTTTGTTGTGACGATGTCGAGTGATCACGTTGATGAAATTACAGCACCTAAGTATAATGAATTGTACCAATTAGTGAACGAGCAACGAGCTAAACTCAAACAGCTAGAAGATGAATTAGCACTGGTAAATGTGAAAAATGACGAGACACCATTGAACACTAAGACAAATGATGAATCGATAGAGTTTCGTGTCATCCCAGACGTCAATAAGTCAGTGAAATGTTTTACTGGATTGGAACCTTCTCACGTAGCCGAAGATTGGTTGGAAACGATAGAGGGTTTAGCTGATTTGAATCGGTGGCCATCCAAATTTTGTCTACATTTTGTACGTTCGAATATGTCTGATGCGGCACGTAATTGGTTTTTATCGAAAAATTTTGTGAGTTGGTCCACGTTTCGTGAGAAGTTTAAACTAGTGTTCGTACGTGAATTACGCATGGCCGACAAGTGGGACGCTATGCGCAGTCGTGTACAACACAAGGATGAATCACTGATGTCATATTTTCAAGATAAGGTGCGGTTGTGCAAAGGTGTCAGATTACAGTTCGAAGAACTTCGCGATTATGTTCTACAGGGCATTTTATCTCGGGAACTCGCGATGTATGCATTTGGAAGGAAGCACTATGACGAAGACCAATTACTCATAGATATATTGGAGTGGC